GTTGTAGTCCAACATATCATACTATTTTGGAATCATGCTGATTCTGCAAGCAAATTAAAAACATTCCACTCTGGATCTGGACCCGCAATCCTGAAATTTGGGTTCACAAGTTTTCATACTGTGATTGTTTTCAGCAATTTTTTTACATAATTTTTTTGCAACAGATTTTATTGTACAATAAAAATTTTTATAACTTGGAAATAAATTTGGAAATAATCAAAATTAATTGCAAAATCCGGTGAAAGTTAACCATGAAATAAAAATAATTGTTTCTACGGAAAGTAAGGGCCTACATACCTCAAATTGTCTTTAAATTAAATGGCAGCCGAAGAATTATTGTTGAAATTTTAAAAGGTAAACTTAGATATTAATGCAATACTTAAATGAGTTTTTACGTAGTTTAATGTTGCCTATCGTATATGGCATCACTATGCTTCACAAAAAGAAATCTCCACCAACAGAGGACCAGATTACAATCAAAAGAGCCAAGGCTGCAGCAAGGAAAAGAAAGTCCTGTTCAAATGAAAACCCAGATCAAACGGCAGCCAGGAGAGCCTCCAATGCTGAGAATATGCAAAGACATAGGGACTATCAAACTCCTTAACAAGCCAAAGGCCCATTCAAGAGCCCTCCACAGGAGCTAGTTTAAATGCTGCTAAACAGGGCGGCTTTTAATCTAGTGATTTATATATGTACACAAATATTATATGGCCAACATTTAAAACAATATGTAAATATTAAGACAATATTGATGATAAAAATGAGAAGCCTCTAACTTTAAACTTGTTTTACTTCCACCATGTGAAACTGCTGTAATAATCATTCACCAACCCAGACCTTTCAGCAAATTAGTAGTCAGTAAAATCTCATTTTTTAACACACACACTTACACTCCCACTATCAGTTAATTTCTTTTAAACAAATATTGCTACATTTATTTTGACATGGAAAATCCAATAAAAAAATTAAAGCAGCAAATGCATAGTTATCTAGCTGACTAAATGCACAAGGTATTTATAAGGATACCACAGATCAGTGAAAAACTCATTCTACTGTAGTAATTCACTGTCCATGAGATTCTCTTTTTCTTCTTTGAGTCATTGTGAGCTCTCTAAACGTTGTTAAGTCAATTGAAAAATTATCAAACTGAACAAAGTCAAATCTTAGATCATATCAACAGAGCCTTGTCAATTTTATGGAGTAAGTCAATTAGGTGAGATAAATAATATAGGCACTTTTATCAATATTATTTTTATTATGATTATAGAAACACCATAAATAATGTTACAAGATACATTCTTGATGAAATATGAATATATAGATCCATACAAATAAACGTATAAAGTAATAGTTTATTGATCATGCTCAGAAGATTCAATACCAAGGTACACAAACTTTTGAACCTACACAAAAATAAGATCCCAAATGAAAAGATATTGATTAATAATAACAGTGATTGACAAAAAAATTTCATTTTGTTAGTCATTAGATAGCATTATGAATATTTAGTTTCAATTAATTTAATAAAAATGATTACTTTTAAGTAAATTATGACAACTGTCATTAGCATACATATTTTTTGTTAAAATTAATCTATTTTTGCCTGAGATATGGTAGGCTTATCTAAAGCCTAAATGCGTGCTCTTAGGCCTAAACATGTTTCTGAGAACATGATTATTTAAAAGCAAAATGCTTTAACAAAAGAAGCCACTTACATATATACTACAAAGATTTTCTTATATATAGAAGATAAAATATTGAGCAAAAATTATGGAATTCTTTGACAAAACAATTATAATACTTAGTTATCACAGCTTAAGTTTTTATGATAGCCTTAATTCCTTCAGGTATTAAGTTCACTAATATTTTTTATCAAAGTGGTTCCAATTTTCCAAACAACAGTTAATAGATCTTCTTTGGTGGATGGTGCCTTCTCATAATTTTTTTAATTTCCACCATAAATTTTCAGTTGGATTTAGCTCTAGCCTAGTTGTTGGCCATGTCATTTATTTTACATAGCTTTTCTGAAGAAAAGTTTTAATCCTCTTTGCTCTGTAACAAGATACATTATCATCTTGAAAAATGATTTCATCACCAAACCAATTTTCTTTCAATGAAATCCATATCCTGGTCCTTTAAATGATATACAACCCCTAAACATAAATGACTTGAGAAATTTACTTGTTTTCTTCAGGCAATCATCTTTTTATGTTTCATTTTAATGGCATCAGGCAAGAGTTCCAGTATTATCACTTTGGCCAATGAAGAATCTTTATTCATCAATGAATATCACTTTCATTTCAATTGTCCACATGACATGGTTGTTTCTCTTTAGCTCACTTTAACTTCATTTTCTTCTGTTTGAGTTTCAGTGTTGGTTTTCATTTAGCTTTTCTATATGTAAATCCCATTTCCTTCAGCTGATTTCTTACAGTTCTGTCACAAACATGGACTCCTCTTTCAATCCATTTGTTTTTCATTTATTGTACATTTTATATTTTAAAGGCATATATTGCTTTGAGCTTTCTATCCTGACACTTTGATGTCTTTCATAGTCTGTTATTATATTTCCCTTTTTTTAACTACCTCATTCTTTTATATTTGAACCAAATTTTAAACCCAGCTGACTGGGAACAGACAAAGCCTTTCACTCCACTCCACTGTGGATTGTCTTCTTGAATGAGATTTATAATCCTTTCCATTGTTTTAATTGACAGTTCTTTTGTTAGAGCCATGTTTCCTTTCAATTAGGTATGGCCAGCTGCTTGTTGAAGTCTGCAAGAACACTTAACCATAGGCTAATTTGCATATCTAGAATTCTGATGGTATTTGTTTTAAAAATGCAAATTATAAGATCATTCCATAGTTTTTTTGCTCAACATTGGATTATTCCATAATATTTTCCTCTGCTTGGATTGAAAAAAAAAAATAATTTAAATTAATGATATAATCTAATTTGTTTAAAATATATTTTATGAAACCAGAATCTTTAGCTATTAAATAAAAAGATGTATTGCATATTTTTGGTAGACTTACTCCTTCAGAAATAGTAGGTGTCATTAACTTATTCATTTACTGTTATATTTTGATTATAAATAGAAATGTTATGTGAAAAAATATTTCCTAACTTTGCAAATACAGAACTCTAATTTCTCAAATAATAAAATTATATATGTAAATTGTTAAACAGAAACTTTCAATCATCTTCACTAATTCATAATACCAGACCTAGCAAGCAATTTGGATACATTGCTTATGAGAAGCCATGTGAGAATAGTCTATTCTAGTTTTATCAAATACACACAACTAATACCACATTGCAGTAAAAGAACAGTAATAAATTTTAATTTTCTTTTGAATTCTTACAGTGAATAATTTTTGTTTATATTTTGAAACTTTTTACTGTACATACATAGCCATGATTTTCTTTTTTTTGGCAGGATCAGAATTAACAGCACACAAAGTAAGGTGGGTCCTCCCTGAAAAATGATTTGTCATAAAGATTTGAGGCAAGGTTTTACAAGGTCAAATGCTCTTCCTGAAGCCCAACTCAAACATTCACAGCAATAGTCCAAGTAAACCAAGTGTTTTTATTGAGACACTATCTCTAGGAAAGTTGCTATTCAAGGCTTGAGACCCCATCCAAACCTTTATATATATATATATATATATATATATATATATATATATATATATATGTATGCATGCATATGTATGTATATTGGCTCCTATGTGAAGCATATCCCCTCTTTCACAGGTATTATTATTTTTTTCTCCTGTGGAGTGACATGCCACCCTGTTCGCCAACAGACAAGTTAGTGGGAAAGCTGGTTTAGACACCAAGCACCTGTCCATGCAGCAGGTTGTACTGGGTTATATTTTACCAGTAAAAGTTTAGAACGGCTCATAATCAAACATTATAGACATTTGTTGTCTGTTATATTTAACAATATATGTTTGAATAAATACTTAGAGAGGAGCATAAACATTTCTCTAAAAAAATTTACAAAGACAAATATGTAAATACATGTATCACAGTTGCTTAAACTTTGGCTGTAAACCTGGGTTAAGAGTTTGGGGTTTTTTCTTTTAATCTCCAATCTATTCTTATACTTAATTTATGATTGTTTTTTCTTCCTGCTTCAATGAAATAAAAGTGAACAGATTTAAAGTTGTATAAAAATCTATAAATGAATAATGTGCATCTTTTAATATGTTGAAGAAAATTATTTCTTTCAAAAAGAAAAAAAACATGACAATTTCAAAATGGTAAAAGGTTATTTTATGTGACTACAGATGAAATATCCTGCCTTTTAAAGTGAACAGAATTATGAAATTTTTAAACTATGAAAATGAAAGAAATTTAAATTTTACACATTTATCTTTCTAAGATTTTTATTGAATGGGAAATTTTAATCCTATTCATTTTTTTTTTTCAAAACAATATACAATTGATCAGTTGTGATATTTATTTCTAAATTGCTCTTTATGAAACAAAACATTTTCTATTCATGTCATTTTCAACCTTGAAACTAAACAACAATCAAAGAAAGTAAATTAATTTTATTTGTGCAAATAGCAAAAATGTCATCAAGTTATTTTTAAAAAATAGAATTTCATTCATTTATTTCAGAATAAATAGAATAATTCAACTAAAGTTTTGTAACCTGCAGGAATAAAATATGGTTTTGACAAAATATCCTGAAAATATTGATACTGAAAAGATTCAATCGTGAAAAAGAGTGAAAATCACTGAATGAAACATCAGCGTAAAAGGATATATACTGATAATAAAACATTATCTTCTAAAATAGATTACATCAGGTTCAAACCAAGAAATACTGTTTGAGAATTCATTTTATAACTTTCAAATCATAGAAAATAAAAAAAAGAAAAAACATATAAATTTGGAAGAAACTGAAATGGAATGCTATTCTTGGTACAATTTGTCAACAGAAAGTGAAAGAGACAGATAAAGAAATCATATGATGTCAATTTACCAGAGTGGCGTGGTTAGTGCTGTAACAAGAGAGAGGCCAGAAAGGAAAATGCACAATAATGGAAAGATCAAAACCAGGATGATGCTCCCAAATCCACCTTTCAATACAAAGTTCCAAAATCGGTTCAAGTGGCGGGTTAAACTTTTTCCCAAAAATCCTGGAAAAAAAAAATTAAAATTAAAAATGTCAAAATTTATGATAAAAATGATTATCAAAAAATTATCATTTATATTATATTTTTAATGATATTAAAATCCATAAAAAAACAGATTTCTGGCAACATTTTAAAGAAAAAACAAAAAGAAAAAAAAAAACAAAAAATAACGGAGTAAAAGGATATATATTGAACAAAATCTATTATTTTCCAAAATTGATTAATTCAGGTTCAGACTAACAAAAGTTACTTTATTTAAAAGGACTGCCTTTATAACTCAAAAAACGAAAATGAGAAAAGTGTAAAAAAAAAAAAAAATAAAAATCATCATATATATATCCACATATATGCTATAAATACATTCCTAGTTTTAATTATAAATTTAAAAAAGAAAAGACAAATATTCAATGAAGCAAAACATTTTGCACATTTACATATATTGTTAGAAAGTAAATTATATAAAAGAAAGAGAAAATGGCAAAATAATTTTGAACAAACCTTTTGTTTTGCTTAAACTAATTTGAAAAGAATGTATCACTAACTTTGAATGAAGTCAGGAGGTGTGATAATTTTATGCCACTTGAAAATTTTCCCTCTCATTTACTCTTTTTCTCTTATAAGAAACAGACAGTGCAGTTTTACATCCTTTCAATATTATTTTATCATACTATTCTTAAAATGTCATTTTCCTTAAAAGTTTCAATGATGTCAATCATTGAAACTTTTAGAGGAAATGACATCAAACAAAACCTTACATATGACAAGAGTGAAAATGATTCAAATCAAGCAGAAAGCAGTAATATAGTAAATCTGCAGACCTAATTATTGAATATCACATTGACCAAATTAACCACATCATGAATACTTTGTTAATCTTTGCTAAATCTTTTTGATAGTCATGCTTAATTTGCTGTTGCTTAAAACTGGTTATGATAAACACTAACTTGAAAATAGAGAATCATCATTATTTGATTAAATATAGAAAAGAATGAGATAAAAGAATAAACTGAGATACTACAATACAACATCTTTCTGGGCCTTTTATTTATGACTCTCAAAAATGAATACTATGTATAGTTTTTTTTCTTTTAAAGCCTTAATTTTATTATATAAAAATTTTACATTTATTGCAATATATATCCAAATAAAATTCTTTAGATGCAATTGTTTGAATAATAAGTTTAAAATAATATAATCTTTGGCATTTGGGATATGTTCTAGAGTTTTTTTTTTGTTTTTTAGAAAGGTGCTCCTTTCAAACCAATCTGTATTTTCCAATATAAATTACATTAAAAAGTTTTTCCTTATCATTTTATCCATACTCCAAAAGTATTTGATTATCCTCAAATCCAATAACCTGTGTTTCATAAATTCAGTAGCCATAAGTTCTGAATTCTGCTCTTAGACTTATCCTACATGCAAACCACTAATGGCAATGCCTTCGGTCCTCTAGTGGCAGCCACCAGTGACCCTCTAACAGTCCATCATTGCCGCAACAGGCATGCTGGCAGTCCAACAGTGGGCCATCAGTGGTAAACACTAGTGGCATGCCACCCAGTGGCAAATTGGTGGCTTGCATGTAGGGTAATCTAGCATGGAATCCTCAAACTTCTACTTAACTCAGTTTGTTTAAATGCTCAAATCTCTATCACTTCAAGATAATAAAATGATATTGAATACACTGATAAACATCAAGTTGACATTCTGTGGTCTGGTTGTTGTTTAACCAATACTTGAAACATATTTGCACCCAGCTTGATATTTGACCACAAGAAAAAAAGAAAAAATGTTTTCAATTAATCATAAAAAAAATTAAAAATATAAAAGTTTATGGGAAAGGCTCAATTATAGTATGCCCCAAAAATTATTTTCAATTTTATGCAATGCTAGTTTGTAAACAATGCTTGTAATTGATTTATTGAAGAAATTTCAAATAGAGTTAAAGAAAAAAAAACATGACAAAATAGGTCATACTCAAATATTCACATAGCTGAGTGAACACAAAGCATTTAACACTCCTAATTTTTCTGTTGATGTTTGAATAAATATACCACTATCTATCTTTTATCTATAAAACATACCCCTTTTAGAGGCTTTAAAAGTATGTGCTTTATTTTACTTTTCTTATCATACATTAGTAAAGATTTAAAGCTTCCTTTATTCTTTGTTTACAGTCACTTTGAAAAAGAAGTCAAATGTACATGTTGTTATGCCTACACAATAGTCAACTATTTGTTCTGATTCATTGATTTGTATCTATGGCTATAAATCAACAAATCTTAGCTTTTAACCTTATGACAAGTGAGAAGCTATATTAAGTAAATCTTGCATTCCCAGTCACCTCTATGGAACAACCATTTATCATAAACCTACTATTAGCCATTACATAAAAATCTGGAATATATTTTTCTTTGCTTTTACACTTAGTCACCAAAAAAAAATCAAGAAGTATATTGATTGGGATTGCTTTTATACTTCATATTTTCATGCTGCATGATATAACAATAAAGAGTACAATTTATTGTAGCTTTATTTTTAGTATATCAATGATCATAAAATAAGTAATTTAAAGCCATTTTTATATGACTGTTCAATAAAAGTCAGCATTTACTATTCTTTCAGCTTGAATTAATAATCAAGAGATTATTAATCCAAGCTGAAAGAATTTCCTGCGAAGGGATCTTGGTAAAAGAGCTCTTTAATTGATCATTCTTTCAGAAGTTTATCCTAATTAGAAAATACTTTCTCAATGATATAATTTCTAATACAATGTCTACTACAAAAGAATGTTTGCAAGAATGTATGTCCACATTTTCCTTGAAGGTACCTGGGTTGACTTTAAATAAAATTTATCTTGACACTACCTAAATTTCTTGAATTAAAATGTTAGTTTTTTTCCTTTTGCTCATTAGAGTTTTATAATCAGTTCAATTTCAATATAAAACAAATGGATACAGTGGGATCACTAGATCAAATAATACACAATTTAATTTCATCATTTGGTACAAAAAATATTGGTTGGTTGGTTTTGCTTAGCAGCATATCAACCTCTATGGGTTATTTAATGCTGAAATCTAAATATTTTTAACAATTGTATGGTTTCAAGTAAATATATTTTGAATGCAATTATATACCTTCAACTGCAGATAAAATATATTGTTGGGATTTTTTTTTTTATATATAAAAATTAATTGCTGGCATTTTTTATATAGAAATTAATTGCTGACATTTTTTATATAGAAATTAATTGCTGACATTTTTACTATAAAAATGAGTTTTTATACTTTCATAGTGTTTCATTTTTGTTTGGAGTTTCACTTTTTGCCCATAGCTGGGACCCTAACAGGTTCTACCACTCCAGGTCAGGGTGGTCCTGGGAACAAGAAGAAGAAGATGTGGTTCTACACCCCTCAAAATCTCCAATCTCCCAATCAGAAACCTTGCTGCCAGATGTATTTTATTACAAAAAAGTAATTAATAAACTAAATTAAGTAAGAAAGACTATGAGTGCATGTGACACCTAACATGACAATGTAAAAAAGTAAAAATCTTTATGGGAAATTTATCATTTAAAAATACAAAATCAAAAACAAATTTTAATTATAATCAAAGACTACAATTTTTTTTATATCCCCATATAATAATTAAATAGATTTTGATTTTAAATGGTTTAAGCTAAAAGAAAAATCTTGCCTGTGCATTTTGAATGGGTTCTGAAAAATTCTTGGTCCAACTCACTTCCCAAAATTTGATCCATTCATTTTGATCAGTGTTAGAACTCTTCAACATACTAAGAAAGATAAAATATTTATTTTGTGTGTTTATTATTTATTGGCCTTAGGTAACTTTGACACAAAGCTGTATGAAGCACTTAGTTAAGTTGAAATTCACTTTTAATAGTTTTACCAGACCAGTACATTATTACACTACAGCAAGTGTGTGTGTGTGTGTGTGTGTAGGCTTATAAATATTAAATTTATTATCTAATATGATGCATCTTCAGAAGAGTCATATAAAATCTACATAAAATAGGCATGGTAGATTATATATAAGTGGACACAAAGTGGTGACCTGGTTGGTGTTGACCTTAGCGTCCACTTTTATATTTGCCTATGCTTTATTCCCGATATTGATCATACTATAAAACTATATTTTTATTTTATATATATATATGGTGTGATGGATAGATTGTTGCCATTTTATATTTTTAATTTCACACATGTGCATTGTTTGGTTTGATTTTGTTGACTGTATAGTATGATAGGTTCTGTTGGATATCAATTGTGAGAAAAAGAAAAAGAGCACCATAACACAATTCATTCTGCCAGAAATCTGGAAATGGTATGCTGTACTACTTGGTATTCATGCCAGAAACTTCAAGACAAACATTTTAGAGTGCTTGGGTGTCAATCTGAGGACAGTGCAGAGGATTTGGAAAGAGTTGGATGAGTCTAATGGTGATTACAAAGGTATGCCAGATCGTTCTGATAAGAAAACTCCCAAATTTGTTGGTGAGGGCCTCAAACTCAACACAGAGGCCTATATCAAGTGCCTTGAGGAGATAGTGTTGCCCTGGATCAATAGGGTGGCTGTTGGAAGACCCTATGTCTAGCAACAAAGACTCTGCATCATGCCACTCAAGTCATGGCCATGGCTGTCAGGCAATTTTTTCATCCACATCACCCCTTACATCTGGCCACCTATCTCCCCAGACTGCAATCACCTTGATTATTATGTGTGGGGTGCAGTTGAGTGAGAGACCAACAAAACTCCTCATAACACCAAAGATGAACTGAAGGCAAGGATTGTGGCAGCATTCACCAACTTAAACAAGTATTTCAAGATACTTTTGTGTAATTTTGGTAAATATTGCTGTTAAAATGAGGTGTCAGTGTTTTTTTCATTTTTGCATAATTTAGATGATTTATCCATTGCATCATGTGTGTGTATATATATATATATATATATATTATAAATTAACTGATTTAAAATATTTTTTTGCTACACAGTTCTAACCATGTTTCAAAGATGGAAGCTAAAAGCTTAGAATTTAATTTTGTAATTAAAGACATTAGTTCCATTTCATCCTCAAGCAAATTCCAAAATTCATTATTAACTAAAAAAGAGTGGAAAATAAAACCATAACAGTAATCACATCACACCATTCCTCATGTCATGTTTGAGATATATATATATATATATATATATATATATATTATCATTTTGAGATCAATTCTAATAAGTATTATGTGCAAATGTTTTTTTTAACATTGTTTCCAGTGATATTGAAAATATTTAATAACTAAAAGTAGATTTTGGTTTTATTTTATTAAATTGTTTAAATTCAGTTTTTTGTAGTTAATGTAAAAGTAAAGCAGCAATCACAATTACAATTGATTTCTGTAACAATTTAGTGGAAGATATATATAACATCTGACAAAACCTCACTTTATAAACTATTGATTGATAAGAAAAAATATCAGAAAAAAAAAACTTCATGATTACCAATTTCACAAAAAAATTTGAAATTGAAAATTCAGCATTGATAAATATAAAAATATATCAAATCCTTTGGAGCAATCTGTAATTCAATTACTACATGTGCTATTTTACAAACATTGACATTTTGTAAGTATAATTTTTTATGCCTCTTTACTTCTCTGTAAAAACAATGCTAACTTTTCTGAAACTCCTGCTAATATAAATTTTTACAATGCAAACACAAACTAGTTCAAATTAATTCAGGATTTATTAATTTTAAATACTATTTCTTCAATTTAAGTTATTTTAAATCACAGTACTAGTCAAAATTTACTGCTACATTTTAAAAAAAAATAAATAAAATCAATATTACTACCAATTTATTTATCTTGAGTAATTTCAAAAACAAAATTTTCATATACCTATTTCACAGTATACTTAGTTAAAAGAAATATAAATAAAAATATATATACAGCCCAAGAAATGGTAAAACAAATTTTAACAAAAATTTTTGTAGACAAACTTTCACATGAGAAATATTTCCAAGTAAGTTATATAAAAGTGGGTTTACCAAAGAAAAAAATGTATAAAATTCTCAATTTATATATAAATATTGATTCATAGGAATTTGTTTCAATTCTGACATGTACACGTGTCAGATATGTAAACCAATGTTTTAAAAATTGCTGAATGTAAAAATTGTGTTAGCAAATGTTAACAGAAATCAGACTGGACATTTAAAAGTTATTTGTACATACATTCATAAATATATTACAACCCTTTTCAAATTTTTTTTCCTTCCTGGAAAGAACATTATTATTTAATTGAGAAACATTTCAAGGAGGTCATCATTTTTTTAATCTTTAAACCTCAAATCAAATTACAAACTTAATCACAGCACATTTTAAAAACAATTCCTATTAAATCATTTTCAATATCATCTATTTATATAATACTATTTCATAGATTAACAACAGCTTCATTAAGATTAAAATATAAAAATAGGTGAAAGATTCCCAATTCATACAAGTTAAAAAAGAATCAATGAAATGAATTATGTATAATCTTAAATATTTCCTTATATATGACTAATTTCATACCAATTTTCTGGAATTAAAATTTAATATTTAAACAAAAGACAGCTCTAGTAATTTTTATATTTCAAATATGTCAAATTTATTATCTTTTTTTATTTGTTTATTGGTATTACTAAAAATTCAGTCATTGCCAAAGATTTCATATTTAAATTTTCAGACTTTATATTACACAGGATTACCTTTTTTTCTTCTCCATAGGTTACTAACTTTTCATTTAATTCCAGATATTAAATTTCCAGAAAAGGAAGTTTTTTCACTACATAATTAACAATTTCAAGACAAAACAGTTTGCTTGCATTATATATTGTCTTCAATTGAGAAAAATATTTAAATATCAATCAAGGCAAAAATTACCAGTATCAGGAGCCTCTTCAAAACTGGCTCTGGATTCTCTGACATTTTTCCACAGCAGTCGTAAACGAGAAATCAGTGTGTGAGTAAGAGAAGATTCTTTTGGGTAGAGGGCACCCTGGATGAAGGAAAAAAAAAGGAACAAAAACAAATTATTAGAAATCAGCAAATAACTTATTTACTGAAACTGCCTTTTTAAGGAATTTTAATATTATTTTCAAATTGTTAACAAAATAAGAATCATTTCCTGTATACTATATAAAACACTAAATTCTCTTTATAATTGTAAAGTGATCAAACTTAAACTATATTGGAATAGAAAAATATCCAAAATTGTAAAATGCAAAATAGAATTAAATTAAAAATTAAAACAAAACTGGTTTTGAAAGGGGGGTGTTTGCAATATAAAGCAAGGTTAAAAAATAGAAATAAGTCAAATATAATGAAAGTGAAAGTAGATAATTATTTAAGATGATGAAAATACACAAATAAAACATGATAATGGGCATCTAATAATAAGACAGATCAAGTATTGTTCCTTGTTGTTAGCATCAGATAACTCAATATATATAACCTGTTGCATATTACTTGGAGAAGAAATGAACCACCAAGTAACTCCCATTGCTCTGAGAGATGCTATAAAGGGGAATAACTCAGCAAAACACTCCAGCAATCTGGAATAATTTGGTTCTTAACAGTGACATTTGTCCAAAAATTGCCTTCACCAAAAGCATTAAATTGAATCATTACTATGTCAAATGGTTCACTTCACTGAAAAATCAAAAGACGGAAGATTAAAGGGAGATAACCTTTTAATGAATGATAATTTTCTTAAAAATTACACTCGTTACTTTGATCATTACTGATTTACAATAATGAATGCTGAAAGTTTGTTCAAGAGGATTAATGTTGAAATCAGTTAAAGCCAGAAAATTGGATTGGTTTTTTTGTCAGGCAACAAAAATAAAATAAAAATTAAAAAATGATTAAAATATAAATATAAAAATAAATACATAAAAAGGGTAACATGAATTAATACATGAGACTTTTTTAAATATTTGATTTATGCATATATTTTGGATTAGACAAATATTTAAATCATCATCATCATCATCCTCCTCCTCCACGACTTCTGTAATTGCAGGGGGGGATACAAATGTAGAAGCCACACTAAATCTTCTCAACAATGGTCTATCAATGGCAGCCATCAGTAATTCTGGTATAGTCATACCTGTCCATTGTTTGACATTGTCCAATAAGTTTTTACATTGACGTCCTCACGTTTCAGTGTTGAAAGTGGACTTTCAACACTGCCTTACATGATGGTCTTGCACAAGCTGTCATGGCTTGTAATGTGTCCAAACAACACCATTTTTCTCCGTTTGACAGTGGTAAGAAGAGGTTCCTGGTGGCCAACAAAACTTGCAACCCTTTTCCACACAAACTCATTGGTTTTATGTTTCTAATAGAATGAGGCCTAGTTATCTCATGCATTTGTTCTCAAACGCTTGGATCCTTTTCTCCGTTTCTGCCAACAGTGTCCACGTTTCACATCCATATAGGATAATGGAGACTACCAGCGATTTGTAGAGGATGTACTTTATTAAATGATAAATAATTTTAAAAAGCAGTTATCCGATGCAAAAGTTATCTCCCTTGAATTTTCTAACTTGATTTTTTTTGTTGAAGTGAACTATTTGACGAAGTGAAAATTTAATTGCAACACTTTTAGTGAAACCAGTTTTAGGCAAATGTCATTCTCATTATGATTGCCTCCCATCGCATGAAATACTCACATCCACTGTCATTGAAAAATGTACAACAACATTCTCATACTTTAATAGCAATGGGTAGTTTTTGATAATTATAAGACTATTGAGTATTTAATAACATTTGTTTGTAATATTAGATTGGAACAAGAGTTTGTATCATTTCTCAAAAGTTTGCATTTCAACATGTGACAATTTCTGAAATGTATCAAAAGGGTGCCATCTTCCTTCAGGATAGCACAAGATCTCATGTCTCTTTGTAGACATGGCAGAAATTGGTACTGCATAACTCAGATATCCTACTACACATGCCAAACTCACCAGACTGTACACCTTTAGATTACCACATTTCAAACCTGATAAAATTCTCTTAATTCTCTGAAAGCCTTTAAAAACCAATTAAACCAGATGCTGAGTTTGAGAAGGATGAAATCATGAAGCTGCCTCAAAGATGGCAAAGAGTAGTGGAACAAAATGGCACATATGTGGTTGAATAAATCTATGGACAAATATCTATATATTGCCTTTGAAATTCACTTTAAAGAACCAATAGATAAACTTCAGTACATTTATAAATACTCACTTTACATTCAGAAAGCAAAATTATGAATTAAAAAAAAAGAAAGTTGTCTATTTATCATTTTAGTTATTGCATTTTTTTGGTCAGAATATTGACAAAAATTTTGTTCAGTAAAATATTCTCATGAAACACTAAAAGTTTTTTTCAAAACTTATTTTGTAAACTACTTTTTGTTTCTAGCTATTATACAAGCTAAGATTACCAATGTTACTAGTGCCAAAAATCCATGTACAAGTTTGTATTAAAATAAAATTTCCAAGCATTAAAACACATCCAGTGAGCCAACATGTTATAGTCAATTAGTTCTCTACTCTTCATGAGACTATATACCTTTAGAACTTATAAAATTACCTATTTATGCCAATGTTTTGGAAGAGGTATAACATCAGGTTCTCTGGAGACTGAGGATTTCTAAGAATAGAATGAAGTTTGAAAATTTCAGATTTCTTGACAAAAAAATAATTATAGGATGGATATATATATATATATATATATATATATATATATATATTGCATATTGTGACATGTAGGCTTTGTCCTATCAAAGGATCGTATCCCTTGCTTTTATCATTCAAAACTAGGGCCTGGTGAAGAATTGATTCCAGCAGTTCTCCCAGGTTTTTAAGGATTACAGCCATATCATATTGAAACACCAGTTCTTATACAATCACTAAAATTAAGTAGCTGGTCAGTAACCTAGGTGGGTGACCACTTTGGAATACCAAGTGCTGTAAGCTTGGATGTTCAGGTAGTGTAATGGATAATGGCTCAGAATTGGAAATCAGGGAGCCAAATTCCAATTCTAGTCAGGTTTGTTATATTCACTTAGATGCGAAAACTCTTGGCAAAGGTATGAATCCATTTCTCCCTCAGCTATGGGTTAATTAGTAGGACTTGTATCAGTAAATCATTCTTATCTTCAAAACATTCTTACAATTTAAAAATATTTTCTGGATTTAAATAACCTGCAAGATGTTGATAAGATATAAAAAAAAAAAAAACAATCAATCAATCGATCCAGATCTCTAATGACTTCCTTGATCATGTCAGAGAAACATTTCCTACCAATTTTCTTGGTAACCTACAAAATCTCCTTGAATGTAGGGAATGTCAGTTTTTAACTGCTTTACTGCATAATACCTCCCAGTAATCATAGTCTCTGTCTTGGGTTTTAGGACATCAAGAGATTCAGCAGCAAGTTCATTTGCAGGTGTGAAGTTATTCTATAAATCCATGATGCTGTAATTCAGGTTAGCATCAAGTACAGCACAAATTCTGGCAAAGGTAAGATAGATAAATGTTTCACACATACACACTTCATGATGCTTTGATCAAGTAGCTGCAGCAATGGCATTATTTTTGGAGGTAGGAACAGTACTTTGTCATGTTCTTCATCATACACCAGGCATATAGGATGGTTAAGAGCATTGTTCATGATGATAAGTATCTTGAATGACAGCCGCTTCAAGATATTTCTTCATTTGAAGTATAAAGCATTGGTGAAACCAATCAAGAAACAAAATGACTGTGATCTAAACCTTCTTACTGTATTGCCAGAACACAAGCAGCATGTTTTTGTTTTTAAGGGTGCAGAGGATTTGGATTTGAATCAACACACAACAAAGAAAAAAGCGAGAAAGGTTTTTAAATATAAAAAAAAATTATTTTTGTGTTTTTACAACTTAATTTTTCTCAGCATCTGAGTGTTAAAGTTCCTTCTCTGTAGTAGTTTTGTAATATGAAAAGAAATGTGATTTCTTTGCATGTATGTGTGAAAAAGAGAGGCAAGGGAGAAAGTGAGAAGGAAAGTGTAAGTGTTACATAGCTTGGTGAGAAAGACAGGTGAATGAGTAAGAGAATCTCTTAAGCTGCTGTCATGAACTGATGTCACATGTATCCGTACTGGTTTTGTCTGTCTAGAGACTTTACTTAAATATTCTTCAAAGGGATCATGAAGCATGTTTTTTTATATTGTCAGTGGGACTACAACCTGTTGGTTGAAAAATGTTAAATATTTATTTTCAAAGGATTAATTTATTAATCAGAAAGATGCATAAATCCTCCAATTCAGAAACCATTTTTTGTCATTTCTTGTTTGCCTGTCTTGCTGTTTATTTCCATCTCTCCACAAAGGATTGTAGGAGCTGTACATTAGGCCTGGATTGACCGTAAGGCTTGCTGTATTGTTCCATAACATTACAGGAAGATGATCCATTCCATATCTTGATATTTGGTTAGCATTCTTATGAATGTAAATAGGATTTAGAATTTTCTTCCAGAAAGGGTTTGTTCTATCACAGTTGAAGTCTTCCTTTTCACAATAGCCTTTTTCTTCAATTACTTTTTTGACATATTCTAGGAACTCCAATGCTGCTTCCATACCAACCAATGCTGATTCTCTTGTGTTCTTGAAATTATAATGCTTTCTAAAACTATAAAACCATCCTTTGCCAGATTCAAACTTGTTATTGTTCTTCACTTTAATTTTCATATAGTCCAAGCACCTTTTTCAAACAGAAAATATTTCTGTCAACAAACACCTTATAATGAATTTAAAACAACATTCTCACTAGTACAAGCAAAAAAAAACAAAAAAAAAAACGTTTTGATGCTAAACTCATTTTCACCCCACATTTCTTTTAATTCAGCTTATGGTTTTCAATTGATGCAAACGGTGCACCTCTTGTTAAACGACTGAGCAGTTTTACTTTTCAGGTTATTCATCACTGCCCTTAACGCTTTTACCAGGTAACACAAACACATACAGTACAATGAACGAATCCAACAAACACAATCCATAGAGTAAACGAGCAAGGAAGTTTTCGATCTAAGGGAGAATACTCTGGAAAAAGAGCTAGAAATGGCTTAGAGTTTTCTCCCTTCATTAAATGACATGACTTCCTGTGGAGGAGAATGTTAACAAGTTTTAAAGTTCTTTTGTTTTTTTTAAATATTTTCTAGCCACATGTTTCAAACTACTGCACACTCACTATATATATATATATATATATATATATATATATATATATATATATATATATATATATGTTTTTTTAAAAGCTTCTATGTAATTCTTTAAAATTAAATTTTCCTCTATAAATCAGATTAATAGTGTGGCTCTTATTAAGATCAGAGGGATTTATGGCTAATTTGACAAGAGATTATTACTAATTGTGAAATGGACAGAAAAGGCAAACTCCTAAAATGAGTAAAAGTGAGAAAATAGTGAAATTTAACTAACATGAACAATTATGAGCTATTATCTTTCAATAAAACTAGTCTCTTTATATCATTATTTGTTTGTTACTGAATTCATCTACTTCCAGGTTATAAAAAGTAGGTCATGCATATATACAAAAATCATTTTTTTAAGGTTTTAATGTTTTTATAACACTTGCTTTGCTATAGCTGAATTACATATACTGATTGAAGCTGAAAAATTTGCTTGTCATTTTGAACTATATTTTTTTACAAGTACTTCATGAAACTAACAAATAACAAATCAATTCCTACATAAAGTATGACATCCTTCTTTAAATCTAAAAAGCTTATTATTTTAGCTGCATTTACTTAACATTTTTTATAATGTTCATTACAAATTAGAATTAATAATGAAAACTGAATGCAAAAATGCCCTTATCAAATAAAACATTGATCTAAAAATTCAATAAATCCATCATATTTATGCCTTCATAAAAAGCTATGCAGTTTGAAACATGAAATAAAAAATATCAATTTATTATGAACAAAAAAGAAGACATTTTATCATATCAGATTCTGTGTAAGCCATAAAATACCTATTATTTCTTTTACTCTTAATATAGAAAATACAATTTTTGATATAAATCATAAAATACACATTTTTTTTGTCTTTTTTATTCTTCTAAAGGCTACAAGGGATAGGAGTTTGTGGAGAGCTATGACTGTCAACATCCTGAAGAGACATAGCATATAAAAGAAGATCAAATTTCACCAAGAATTTCAGAGAGTACAATTGTCTTTTAATTACCATTCACAAATTTGCAGAGGAAACAGAAACAATTCTTCTTTCTATCAGAGTGAAACCTATGGATCTAAAATGAATTCCATATTGGTAAACACAAGAATTATTGAAATATTAAAACAAAAAAATTAAGAAATACTTACATCAACAGGACTCAGCTCTAGATCTGGTTTGAAAGGATTAGTATAAAACAAGGCTCGGAAACTGACTGGACTGCACCAAGGAATGACCACCTGAAAAATAAAAAGAAGCTTATAGAAAAAATAAAAACTTTCCACAATATAATGAAATCTGATAAAACTAGATCATTTGTAATCTCATAAAAGCAACAAACTTTCATTAAATATTGATATTATATATAAGCAGACAAATAAATTTTTTCTGCTTTGTTGATTTCAATGTTTTTCTTTGATTTATATTTTTCATCACATATAAAGGCTTATATGCTTATTACCTGAATCCAGAAACTTCTTATTCATTGGTGAAATTTAAAATCAATTCTTAAAATATGTTCCTGAATATCTAATCTCAAGAACAAACATTAGGTATATGTTTATAACCAAATATATACTGTCTTATTCAAGAAAATTTTCAACTCACAGTAGCCTACAGTAAAATTACATTTTACTTAAAACTAAAAGCTTTCAGCATAAAGAAAATTACACCATAGGTTTAGGGATGGATATACAAATTTCATCCAAAGCCTGGCATCTTTAAACCATCAAGCCAAATTTATTTTTGATACCCCAGATTATAAAACTAGAATGTTTTAAATAACTTAAAGAATACAGTAAATTGTTGAGCTGTATTGGTTCCTGAACTAAAAGACTGATGATGAAGTTCTAAATGAATTGATTACCTTACAATATCTGAAAGAATGACCCCACAAGATGTCTTGCACTATAACAACCATTTCAGTATAACAGAAGGCATGTAAAATATACAAGTTGGAAGGAAATTAAACTGATAAAATTATTGTATTGTATTACTATTATATCATAGTATAAAAATATCAGTAGGAAAATCTGAATTTTTATAATGATAGAAATCATCAAAACATTTATATATATGCAAGAGCAATAAATACCTTCATTCAACCAACAAAAATATTTGATCCGAGTCATAATTTTTTTCATTCCGATGCTTTTTTATGAAGATACAAAAATACATTTTTCCAAGATTCCAGAAGAGATCATTTTTAAAACTAATAGGTCATTTTCAATAATAAAATAAATAAAACTGTGAGAAAATTTGGATTATGAATATAGAAGTCCAAATTTTATCTTTTAATAATTACTATTATTATAAATATAGCAATATTTGAATTCAGCATGTATGACAGACTTTATCAGTGCAGAAATAAACTGACAATGAAATAATTTTATGTGGCTACCACTTTAAGATTAACTGAAGGATTCTAACAAAAAATTGCAAGATAAATATTTAAAATAAAGCATGAAATACAATAATGAAAACTGATACATGTACACTAACAAAATTAAAAGGTAAAAAGAAGTTTTGTTTGAAAATATGGAATGCTTATTCAGAATATTGTATATAGGCAAAAGGAAAAATTAATCTAAAATTTTGAGATGAGATTTTTAAAAGGAAAAAGTAAATTAAGACTAAATTGGTTACAACTGAAACAATTGAAGGAATAAAATGTGCCTAAATAAGGGATATTTAGAGAGCAATGTTGGAGGATGTACTAATACTAATAAATTATGTAAACTCCATCAGTTTATCAATACAGTTCATGATGGAAAAAAATTAAAAAATAATGAAACTATTTTCCTACATGTCCTTGTAACTCACACAAAAGGTAGAATTAAGACATTCGTACACAGGAAATCAACATTCATGAATTTATACTTAGTCTAAACAATTCTTGTGTAATAATTTGTTACCTATAAAACATATAAGGCTTATGGCCATCTGTTGAAACACTGGTTCTTTATGTTCATATGTTCACCAAAGTTAAACAATGTCAAGATTGGTTAGCAGAATGCCAATTCCAGTTGGGTTTGTTATATACGCACAAATACCCTTGAGAAAGGTATGAATCTACCTCTTTTCCATCCAGCTATGAGTTAATTAGTAGAATTTGTAACAGTAAAAATCATTATTATCTTAAAAAAAAAAAAAATTCTTATAATCTAAATCAGTCTTAACAGAGAATGTGTGGAAGGAAAGTGGAGCAAACTTTAACATAATAGACAAGTGTTTAATTTTTTAACCTAATATGAACACCGGTTTTAGGTTTAACATTTAAAGCTCCTTTGAGGCTGCAAGGAGAAGCAGAAAAGTTCTCCGCCTGATGAAGAAGCCTGAAAGAAAAAAATCTGATGTTTGGTAAGATTTTGGAAAGTGGGATGTGTTAAGAACTTTTCAGCAATTTGAACAATCAGTTACAACACTAAAACATCTTTAATGTGCTCAGCACTAGAGAATAAGATTTCTTCCTTTTACTCTCATCTTAACATTAGTAATGTGAAACATTAATGTTAAGTTACTACTGTTAGTTATATTCTAGTTGAAAAGAAGAAAAAGAGCAAATAATGCATACTAAATGATATAAGTGTATTTTCATAAATGTTATGTTTAAAAATAATCTGAAAAATATATGGAATAACTAATATAATGTATTTGCAATGCTTTCCAAATACTGAATTCCATTACATTATCAGTGACAGAGACAGAATCTAGTATCATTTTTTCTAATACATATTAGATTACAATGAATACATAGCAAATTACTAGCATCTTGAAGTTAGTCTATTTTTTGTGCACATTCCCCACAAACCATGAAATTGTAGGAAAAAAAAAAAAAAGCTTACCCAAAAAAAGAACATAGAATTCCACATCCATGCCCATGTTCTATGTACATAATTCCACCATCTCCACATTGGATAACGAGTGCTGGTTTTTCTGCGCAAATATTTGTCCACTGTGTAAGTGTCATGCTTCAATAAATAAAAAAATTGAAAATAATAGGAAAGAAGTTCATAATTGACAAAAATCTATAGTAAACAAATAATTGTGACGTAACCTATACATAAATACATAGGTAAAAATACATACTTCTTTATAGGAATAGAATATATAAGTTTAGACAATTATAATAGTTAACACATGAAGAGGATGCCTTTTGTCTTTCTTGATTACTGTTTACAAATTATCACTTGTGTGTTTGTAGGATGTATAATAATATCTGAAACAAAAGTGAAGATGAGACAATTTGGAAAATGTTATTAACAACACATTTCACCAGAAATGCTCTCTTTGGGTTCCTCAGGTTAAAATGAAAGAAAGACAAATGTGTGTGAGGAAAATGCCTAGGGATCCCTGGAAATAGGTGGGAATCATAAATCAAATTAATTATCATAACTTATCACCTCCCAATGTCCACACTTGGAGAGTGTCTATCCACCTGTATGTGGATATCTATATTTGTATTAGAACCATTTAATATTGTAGGATTTCAAATCAAGAATATATATATATATATATATATATATAGTCTTAAAAACAAGGAAACCATTGATTTTAATTTTAAAAGTCTCTAGGGCCCTTTCTGCCAACATCTCATCAGGAGACAATCGTTGGATTAGCGAAAAGAATATTAACGATATTGAAGAGCAAAAAAAAAAAAAGAGGGGGAAACACACTAAAATAACAAACAAGTATATATACTTGTAACGAGGGAAGGGATCGTGTAAATAAATTAGCGAGGGACAGTTAAAATAAAATATCCCCCAACAGATTCAGAGATCTTATAAATTCTTTCTGCTGGCAGAGAGAAGGTTTTCTTAATCCTATACAGACCGATTCCAAAATCTTCAAATGATCATTGGAATCGGCTGTATGAATAATTTTAAACCACTCTTTTTTATACAACTTGGCACAAGCTATATTCTCAACTAAATGTTGAGCAATAGCCGATTCCATATTCATGGGGGAAGATAGCATATTCTATCTATCTTACCAAGTCGTATTTTTGGAAGGTGCGTGCTGATTAATTCTAGTTTCCAAATGCAAGGTTGTACGCCCCCACATAACCAGCAGCACACTGGCAATTAAATTCATATACTAAATTACTCAATTTGATGTAGGGCAATACATCCTTGCGAAAAAGACGGAAACGCAGACCTAGTTTGAAAAATGTTACGTAAAAGCAACTGATGGGAAACAACCGAAACCGACTTACTAACCTGCTTAATTAAGCCCTGACCCTATCCCCAATCCAGGGAATCTTCAAATAAACCGGACATTTAGAAGGCCCCTGGATTTTAGGGGAATGAAATTCCTTAGTCTTCTTACTAATAATATAGTCAATAAGGGCCTCCGGATAGCCGTTACTAAGGAAAATCTCCCTAATGTTCCCAAATTCACGGTCCAATCTAATAGGAGAACACACTTTAAGCGCTCTATACACCAAGGTTTTAACAAGATTAATTTTCCTTGATGCAGGAGCAAATGAACGCCAAATCAAATAAAGTCCCGTAAAGGTGGGTTTACGATAGATGCTAGTAATAAAACCACCTCTACTTCGTTCAACAAAAACGTCCAAAAAAGGCAGACAGTTGTCCTTCTCCCCTTCCATAGTGAAAGACAAACCATTGTGTAAGGAGTTGAGCTCATTAAAGAACTCAACAGCCTCACTTTCATTAGAGAAAGTTGCAAAAGTGTCATCGACATATCTAATGTAAACAAACGGTTTAGACACTTTGCCGAAAAGTAACATCTCATGGTAGCCCACAAAAATGTCAGCTAATGCAGGGCCAAGGGGACTGCCCATCTGGACCCCATCCACTTGACTATACATAATATTGTCAAAACTGAACTCCACCAAACTAGTACATAGTATCATGAGTTCTATAAATATATCCTTAGGAAAAGGAGGTGGAGCAATGTTACTTTCGTATAAAAAGTCTGCACAGATATCAATAGTTTCCCTCAATGGTACATTGGTAAATAGACTGGACACATCAAAAGAACACATAAAATCAGTATCAGGGCAAGACTGTATGGCCTATAGGCGTTCAACAAACGTGAACGAATCAGGTATACAATGCTTAGCAAAAAATGTTTGGACCGGTTGTATGACCTGCAGAAGCCATTGAGCCAGAGAATGTTGGGATGAACCAATCATTGAAAGTATATATATATATAAATAAAAAGAAAGAACAGTAAGATATATTGATATTTTTTATTTTTACAAAACAGTACTCAATGTAAATTTGCAGAGCATAAATATTATAAATTAACTGATTTAAAAGATGTTTTTTTTTTCGCTACACAGTAATAACCATGTTTCAAAAATGGAAGTCAGTAAATGTTTATTTTTATGAGAAACTATATATTACTAAGTTTATAAAAAATAAAAATTTACTGAATAAGAGAAATGAAATATCTATTTTTTGCCATCATCGTCAAAAATTTTCCTTAAATATTTAAAAATAAAATTAAAAAATGGGAGCTGGTAATATACATACTTATATTTGATATGAAAAAATAAATTTAAATAATGTAAGTAATTCTATTACATTTACTTGTTTTTAAAAGGAAATATAGTCTATTAGTAATTAAGAGTAAAAATATTTTAAAAGTGTAATTAAATAAAACGTATTCTAACCATTTAAACACCCCTAGAAAGAATCTTTAAGTATATACAAGTAAGAAAAAAATGCCAAAAAACTTTTTGCCATTAATAATAATAAAAAAAAACGCAGACGACATGCATTTAATGGATGTCAGAATTCGTTGAAAAATACACCCCTACCCTCCCTAAACTTAACCTCTTTTTTGAACGTAACTCATAATTGATACAACAATAGTTAATAAAAACGAACACGCTACTGCCCATGTCTGAATGATTGGATTTCTCTGTATCCTAACAGTAAATTATGAATTTATATGTGCGTTTAAAACTCAGTAAATTTAAAAATAAGTTATTCTAATATTCGCTTGAAGATGAAACGGAACTAATGCTTTTAATTTAATTATATAATTAAATTTAAAGTTTTTAGCTTCCATTTTTGAAACATGGTTATTACTGTGTAGTGAAAAAAACATTTTAAATCAGTTAATTTATAATATATATATATATATATATATATATATATATATATATATATATATATATTTTTTTACTGTATATGCATATATATATATATATATATATGAGCCCCATCATATATACCCATGTACACACACACACGCACACTCCCATAACCATATATATATATATATATATATATATTAGTGCCATTTTTTTTAAGTTTGTGGGGTGCACTGTTTTTCTTGATATTATGAGTCACATTAGGATGCCTGATTTGTTTGCAAATACATATACATACATGCACACATAAAAAAGGCTATATGATATGTGTACACTGGTATATATTGATGGGGATGTATATGTGTACATTTATATATAAGTAAGCAAAAAAAAAAAGGCTTTAATATATGTATATGCCTGTGTGGGTGTGTATATTTATATTTGTGTAAGTGTATGTATAACAAAAAATCCCCAATTTAAAATTCTACAACACCAAAAGGCTCTAACACAGATATAGATAAACAAACACACAACACATTGGGAGGTAATAAGCTAAGATAATTAATTTGATTTATGATTCCCACTTATCCCCAGAGATCCCAAGGAATTTTCCTTGAACACAATTTTATTTTTCTTTCCAAGGGAGCCAAAGAGAGCACATGCTCTCCATTGAAATCCTGTCGTTAATAGAATTTTCAACTTTGTCTCATCATCTTCCATAATATAACTTCATTTGTACTAATAACAAAAGACTAGTTTAATCAATGTATGAATCAAACGATAAGGATATTTTTAATTTTAATAATGAAGATTTTTTTTTTATCAAATAGTACAGTGTCACTGATTGAAAGAATTGAGAAGAATCTAATCAGGATGCACCAGGTATTTAAGAACAGTGGTCATAAATTGAAACACCCTAATGCAATGCTTATAGCACCAGCTACCAATCCCAGCAACTCAGATGACCAACTTATTGAAAGTGATCAAGTAAACAAGAGGAACTGCATCGACCCCATAGTAATACCCACCAATTTCATGGGAGTTGTAAAGCAATGAGGTCCATGTACTGCTACTCTCTCAACCTGGATCAATGCCAGTACCAACATCAAAGTGCTTGAAAATGGAGTAAAATCATAGATTGAGGGAGTAGCTCATTGAAGGCAAAGATCCTGTAAGATTGTTCCTTTCCACAAGACTCAAGAAAGGCTGACAGAACTTTCATGATCATGTCACTCTGAACATGTGGCCCCGAAGCTCTCTTGATTTGAATCTCCTGGAATCATCAAGATGGAAACCAACCAGCAACCCCACAATTTGAAAGACTCATTAAAAGCCACCATTATGGATACGGTACCCAATATGAATGAGAACCACCAGATGCATGCAGTTATTTCAAACACTGCATTGAGACTGTCCCTCATTTTATCAAATAACCTTTCTTTTTTTTCTATGTTGAACATGTGTACAATGTTTTTTAAAACTATACTATTTTTTCTGTTTGTTTATGTTTGTTTTACCTTATAATTTGCTTTTAATTATCTGGTAATCCCTGAATATTTTATACAACTTTCTGGACTTGAAAATAAATTTAAAGAAAATGTAAGAAAAAAAAAATCAATATAAACTTCCAAAATGTATAATATAAAGAAGAAACATTTTGGAGGTAAAATGCAAAATTCAAAAGTAATAAATATACAACTTGAACTTTTGAAAATTGACTGTGTCTATTATAGAAAAGGTTAGCTTCTTATGTAAATACATGATATCACTGATACATTAAACAAATATGTGAAAAGTTTAATTCATTATCATAGTTGCAAATAGTGACACAGCAATGATCAGAGGAAAAAAAACAATCATAGTTGAAATTTAGCTCTCTATATATCTGTGTGTGTGAATCTAATAGATACAAGTAAGGTTTTGATTACTCTCCACTGACAATCACTATCCTCCACCATATGGTGTTCTACAAAGAAATGCCATTCCCCACCACCACACAGTAATTTTCTGCACCAGCAAACTAAATATTTTTGGTAGTGAAAATGATTATTAAACAGAATTTGACTAATTTTTAACAGCGATCTGTATTAGTAAATTTTGGCACTTATTCTGTGTTGAGCTTTAAAAATCAGGAATTTAATGCAAGCATTACTGACAGAATAAGATTAGAATATTTATAACATGTTACACAAGTAGACATAGATCTTCAAAAATCCTATTTCCAATTTAGTGAATCTTTAGTTTTCATATTATTCATGCAACTTCTTTGTAATTAACTCTCAGATTTGTAACATTTTATACATACCTCTTTCTTACTGACTGGTCCAGCAGGGGCAGCCCCATCTTTGATAATGGTGGGCATCACCTCAGTGTCACCCCGTGTTTGTCTAACAATCATCCAATGCTGAGGAAACCAGATTTTTGTAGAAAATGTGAATACTTGGGTTGGTACCTTTACTCTGCCAAGTTCTTTGCGCAATATGTGTTCTCTCTGAATATGGCAGAAAGTTGTAATTATTAAAGTTTGTTGAAGGGAAATTATTTAATGCATTGTTTGCATTTATTGAAATTGATGTTTGTATGTTCATGTTTGAGATTTTCCATTTTATCTGCTACTTTTGCCTTTATGAAATATCACAGAAAATATTAGAAATAAATACAAAGCAAATGTACAATTAAGTAACAAAATATATTAATGACAATTAAGAGAGGATACTGCAAAAGAAAACATAAAAATGAAAATATACTTCAAAACAGATACATAAGAAGCATACAAATAGAGGTTCAATTATGAATAGTGAATTAATGTAAAATACCAAATAAATATTTTCTAATTTTCTGGAAATATATCCTTATAATAATACACACACACAAACTTAGTTACTGCAACAATTTATTCAAATGCTCAGTTTTTAACATTTTTATTGTCAATATCAACATAAGGATAAACATAAAAAAGATTGTTAACTTCTGAATACACATAGTTGGGGTACAATCTACACTTCATAATGACTAGCCTAAGATTGAACAAAATAGCATGTTTCATACCTTTTTATAATTAACACAAGGATGTAGTTCTAAGTAAATGTTGATAAATTTTTTGCTTGCAATTAAAAGTTATTTTTCATTTTAATTCCTATGATGCTATTAAGAGCCTATAGATTTTATATATTCTATTGTTTTTACCTAAATTTTAAATTGAAAAGTAAATGTAATTTACAGATTATCTGATATTGAAGGAGATTTTTAACTTTAAGCCTAATAATATTTCTACTTTTATTAAATAAAAATTCAAAATAAAAAAAATAGTGAGTATTTTAATAACTAAAATTCATTGAGAAAACATCTGCTTTTTTATATATTCTGATTCTTAGAAAATTATTTTATATATTTCAGTAATTTTAGCTTATATATATTTAATATCATCTGTAATAAAAATGATTTGTATTAGAATTCCTTTTATGCAAAAATGGTCAAAAGAAAGTAAGCCAATTCTCAGTTGTGCAAAAACTACACATGTATTTAATAGTTGTTCCCCTTCATTGAAGTGTAAAGAAATTTAAATGATAAATATCTTTAGGTGTTATAATTTGTAATGGATTAAAAAATGATACAGTTGATGTATTGATGTAAAATCAATAAAATTAGTAACAAAAGACAAAAAAAAACAGCAGAACTGTGATAAATGTTAAAATTATTTAAAAATGTTCATTTTTGGCTGGTTTTATTACAAAAACTCATCACAAATTTATCATGCAAAATGTTGTATATTTTCTTTGAAATGAAAACATAAAATACTAATATGTAATGATAATCTAAATCTTCTGGATAATAGAATAACTATTTAAATTTTAGTCATACATAAGGTTTTGGTGAAGGATATTATTTTAAAAATTTTAAATTTGGAAAAAAAAACCAAAAAAAACAAACCTCCTTGATAAAGTTCAAATCACGCCGCAAAAAATAAATGGCTTGTTTTTGTTGCTGCTCCTCACACAAACTAATTGCAATTTCATGGGCTGACCACAAATTTTGGTTAATAAATTCCTCCTATGTATATAATGAAAAATAATATGTAGTGGTAATTGGGAATTAAATTTAGTCGTTAGATATGCATATTTTTTTCATACATCAATACTTTAATGAGTTATTCAAACATTCTTTTCTTTTGCACAACCATATAAGATTTTTTTCTTCTTATTCCTTTTACATCAACAAAAAAATAAAACAGAGGAGAAAAAGTTGTTGAGTTGATAGCATTAGTTGTTTGTCCCACAGTGATTAAAATAGTAGAATTATGTAAATTATGAGCATTATATTAAACTTTATGCAAAATTCCTTGGTTATTTACTTTAATTTCAAGAAATTGTATAACTTTAAAAAAAATAAAAAACTAGATATAAAAAGTGATGAATGAGTTAAAAATATTTTTCATTTTTTTTTTTTTATAGATTAAGAAATTAACTTATTTAAGTAAAAAAATTATCATTGATTTCTACCTCAAACCGCTGTAGCTGCTCATTTTTCCAGGCGGTAATCCGAGATTTTACAGGATATTCATTTTTTAAATGCTCTATTAACTGAAATTGAAGGAAATAAAAAATAATTTGGAATTTTTAAAATACTACAAAAACAATAAAAGATTAAAATAAAAAGAAAATTATATGTGTGTGTGTGAAAGGGAGAAAGTATAAGCAGATAATAATTTGTAAGTGAATTGAATAGAAAAGTATCGATTATACTAAAAGTTTTTTTTTCAGAGTGACTTAACTTATGTGTCATGGGATATAGCATAATCAAGAAATGGGTGATTATAGTATTATATATTTTTACAATTAATAGTTTGTTTTGGGTTTTTTTTTTTTTGCTTATATGGACTACCTTTGTCTAATAATTCTTTCAGTTTTCCTTCTGCCATCAACACAGTGGTATCTGCATAGCACATATCCTTAAGGTTAGATTTGATAATAATAAATCTTGTCAGGTACTTTAATTCTTTTGAAACCATCTCAATATGCAACTAAAATAAATCCAGTGAGAAAACAGATCCTTGTTGATTGGTTGGTCATTTTTGTTTGGCAGCATATAATCCTCTATGGGTTATTTAATTTATAATAGTTTTTTTCTTCTCCGTTACAACTCAAGGGAGATAAATTATTCAGGATCCATTTTAATTTCCATCAAGTGTACTTTTACAATACAAAATGATCAAATAAATGAAAGGCTGAGTTAAGTATTTAAAAAATATTTGTTATTAATATACCTATAATTAATATGAAGTAGTAAGAAATCAGCCTCAAAATATTAAGCATGTTCAATGACTGAATATTTCCTCTGAACCAGAGACATTGCGTTAAAAAATAGAATTAAAACAAAATATTATCCAGATTAATTTACACCTTAAAAATACACTTCAGATACAACAACTTAAAAGATCAGATTTATGTTGGGCTTTAAACTTACCTTTTCTTTGTGCTCAACCATTTTCTGCTGAATATTCTGTACAGCTTTCTGCATAGCCAATACAGACTGGGCCTGAGCAATCAGCAACTGACCTACAAAAGATCAAAATTAACAATTAATAAATAATAAAAATCAATGTTATAAGAAACTTTATGATTTTAATCAATACCGTACATTTTTATTATACATCAATAAAATATACTTCCGATGAGCAGTTAAATGGCAACAGAAGATTTAAAATTTTCATCTGTATGAAACCTAGACTTTATGAATTTAAGCACAATACTAGATTGTCAGCAAGGTCTCATCATTTTACAATTGAATGTCTAGATGTAAGTTCCATGCTAACAGTTTCTTTTTTCAAATTCTCAATTTTAGAACTCTCTTCTAGATTCTTGCTTTCCAGTCATGTTCAATCTTCAAAAATTTAAATGCAATGTCAATTGTTATCTACTGTCTTCTTAATTCCTGTTCTTTTATTGTTCTCACTCTTATATATATATATATATATATATATATATATATATATATATATATATTTTTCTTATATTCTTTCACACTTCTGTGTCTTGGTGGCTTTATTACTTTTCTTGAGGAGAAATGATTAAAAAAAAAATTAAGGTTGGATATTTACATGAATGATCCTGAGGAAGGAAAGAAATTTGAAAGAAAAAAAACTAGCTATCATCCACATAAATATAACCTGCCCTCACAGAATCTTTTTCGGACGTAATCTTGTTGAATTTTACAAATGCAGTTAATGGCATATAGAAATATATATATTATATATAAAATTATGAATATATATCTACTGAACATAATTCCTATTGCCCTGGGTTAATAATTAGCAAGCTAGTCTTGCAGGCTACTGCTATGATATGATTTTCAAAAGGTAAGTTGAGAAGTGCTACAACTTGTCTACATATGACCAAAGGAAGTAATATGACCTATCATATAAAAGAAAACTTACCTATTCCATGTTGTAAGTTCTCCAATTCAATATTATTTTGCACAGCACGATAAACTCTTTGAAGATATTCATTCATCACAGCAGTTGATACTTCCTGGAATATAAATTATTGTAAAGAATTTCAAGAAAAATATACAAACCTGATGCTAACCTAATCAGTGAATGAAAGAAATACATGATAAAATAACGCTATCTGCAAATCTATATTCCTTCCTGTTTTAAGATGTATAAATAAATCTATGTATTCATGTCACTGTAATTTTTCTAACATTCAGGTTACTTGCTTCAGAAAATATACTGAAAGCTATTTGAGTTGGTTACCCCAAATCAAATTGCTTCCAGTGGCTTTGAATGACCAGTACAGTTCCCCAACATCAAAACCTAAAATCTGCCATTTTTTAAAGGGGGGAATGCAGGGGATTCAATCAATTTTTTAAGATAATCTCTAGATCTATAATGATCTATCATTTGAAAATTAAACAAATGAGGATTTATCAGAAAAAAATAGCCTTTCAAATCACAAGAATCTGTCCACCATTTCAAAGGCTTATTTAATGTTGACTATTTAAGAATAGTTGCTCTGCTGTAACATGATGATACAATGCTGCAACATAACTTAAAACAGGAATTCTTTTCTATTTCCCATCTTATTGCGTGAAGACATTTTTCTTTCTTTCATTACTATACTGTACAATCATGCATTTCTCAATTGAAAATTCTACCTCTCATTCTCCATTCTCTTTTGAAATCCAACACTTCTTGTGCTCAAAGTAAGAACTACTGTGAAATGATTGTATTGTTATTTCTCTTACATCTTTATATTAATGCATGTATTTTATTAAAACTGAAGCCTGAATAAAATAATCATTATTATATCTATATAATGAGAACAAGTGATTGAAGTGAAAAAATACTAAACTGAATTATTTAATTTACTACAAAAATGCTTGGTTTATCCCATATATAATAAAAAATAATTTTTTTTTATAATTTAAAACATGAGTATGTATGTGTTAATTTATATTTATTTACTGCAAACTCTGAAATAGATTTGTGCTAAACTTAGCAGAAAAGTTGGAATATGATATTCTACAGGGGTGAAAATTCAAGTGGGTAGACTTTATGTCTTAGACATTATGATGACAATCTTCAAAATAATCAGCATTTATCATTGAAAGAAAACTTGTAATCAATAAGTCAATATTTTAGAACTCTAAATGAATTCAAGGCCACAAAGGATGAGTAAATATTTTGTAGTGTTGTTTCTAATCTGTAGTGAAATAAATATTTATTGTATCATTAAAATACAAATGTGGCACAAGGACAAAAAGTGGGGGAAGGGTGGTCATCACTGGTATAACACCCAAACATGATTATAATAAACCTTTCACCATAATACATTTATACACATATCCCCATATTTACAACCACATAGAGAAGGGGGATAAAAAGTAAAATCTGTAGTGGAATGACTGCAAAAACATCCTTCTTCCCAAATTTATAGACAAAACATGCATACAGGGATTTCTTTCTAGCCAATAAGATAATTCTGGTCTTTCTTGTCTTGAAGTCAAAACAGTGTGATCACTTGTCTGTATCCACTTTTGTGTATTAACACTATTCTTAGTTTGTGAACATTGTGCCTTATTACTGTTGATTTATCTTGAATATATTGTCTGCTCAATATTTATTTTTGCTCTGTTCTTTTTTTTTCTCTTGTTATTGTTTTTTGAAAACTTTGTCAATTCTGTTTGTTGGGCATTTCTGCCAATTACATTTAACCATGGACAATTGCTCTACACATATTCTGACAGATCCGTGTAAAAAAAAAATCTAGGACTATGTTAAGAAGTTTAAAGGACTGAAACTAATGCACACACACACACGCCTATTGACTGAGAAACCTCTCTCCACTGAGGCCTCTCCATGACAAAGTACCAGCAATCTGTGAATAACTTTTTACAGTTTTTGATATTCATTGTTGCTAGATAAAGAAGAGTAGAACAAATCTTGAAAGCGATATTTCCAGCAGCCTCCTCCTTGAACTCACTGACTGATGATGTCATTACAATCAGACTTGCTGACTTGTTTTGTGGCCATCATGTGAGAAAGACATCTTTTTAGACTGTCTTCTGTGACAGGTTTTCTTTCACAAATGGATCCAGAAAATGGTTCACTGTCTTTCAAAACAGACACAAAGATCTGCAGTTTCACTGCAAATAAAATATTATTCATGTTTGACAGCACCGCAGAGGACTGACCAAATGCCTAAGAGTTATTCTAGCCATCTATGGCAGGAATACAAAAGTAAAGAAACAGGGTTACCAGATTAAACTTTTAAAAACAATAATAAAAACCAAATTTCATCATCCTTCTCATCTACATTGTAGGTCAAATTTGATTCTCAAACTTGTTACTTTTGGCAACAATGTAGACAAACTTTTGGCAAACAATTTACACACATACATAGTGACACACAAAGTATCTATTTTTTCAGCATGAACTCGCACCTATTGCTGAATAGAGATCAAAAGGACTTTTTACTTTTGAAATTGACATATGAATAAAATTTCTTCAATTGTTCACATTTTAAAAAACACTGATAAATTTTTTGAGATTCTACTAAAAACTGTATTATTACTGTAAAATAATTTATTTTCTTTTCAACTACAAATTCAATGAGTGTGAATTAATTTATCTTTGACAGATGCCTTTTATCTTTGCTTTTCCTACTTTCTTCTTGAGTGAGAGCAGCAGCTAGAAGACATGCCTTCATATTCTTTACTTTCTCCTTTTCTTTCATGTCACCTAGATGAGAAAATACCAAAGTAACTACAAAGTCATGAACTAGTTCTAATCAAGGAAACAAACCACTGTTCACAATAATTGGCAAATATTACTGACAACTAAAAAACATTTTCTTAAAGGAGAATTTTATCAGGGATTTGAAAGAAATGAAAAGTAATTTATTTGCAACCTATTCTCACTACTCACTTATGAGATATTCTGTTGTTATGGTAACTGGAGGCATGTTCACTTATTGGCCTCATGTCATTATAAAGAAATATGTCATTACTAAAGAGGGAAGCTCAGGCTATGTGACTGATAAATATATAAAAATCTTATTGAGCTTTATATTATAGTTTATTTAAAGAAATTATTCTTGTGAATTAATGCAACAATAGACTCCAAAAATGGAAAAAAAAGCTCACCTCAGTAATCTGTTCATTGGAAAGACCTTTGGCTGAAATACAAATATAAGTTTTATTTAAATTAAGTGAAAAATTATAAACCTAAAAATATCAAATACTACACAAATGAAAGCATATTTGTTAAAAGTTGAAATTTTTAAACTTAAAGACCTAAAGTTCCCATCTATGCACAATAATTCATTAAAAAAACTATAATAAAGCTTTTTTTTTAAATTCATGTTAGTTGATTAGAAAGAATATATGTAATGTAAATCCTACATTTTCATAAAAATTTATTTCCAAAAGAAAATTTTCAGCCTTGGATAATATTAGCTTACAATAATTTTGCACCGATATTGATAATGGGAAAGTATTAAAGAGTAACTTTTGACAGGTTTTTAAAATAAACATTAGTGACATTATTGCCTTTCAAATTAAATCAAAATTTGAGAATAACCCTACAATTTACAAAACTAATACTTTTTAATAAATAGTGATTTCTTGTAATAATTCAAGCAAAAATAAAAATATAAAATTAAAACATCAGTTTTTTTTCCATTTCTAATATTTTGGAATAAATCCCTTAGCTGTATTGATGTAATGGTTTAATTTATCATGGTTTAAAAACAGACTTTTGATAGAAACTTTATGTTAGATCATGAAAAACACAAAAGACTATAGAAACTAATTTTTAATGCTTTCATAAAACCATTTCAAAATCATAAATTGCAACCTTGTCAATTGAACAACAAAATCAAATATTTGTAAAATATTTAATTTCATCATTAATCCCTGAATGTAAGCACTTACAAAATATCCATAAAATATTTTAAAAGAGATAATTAAGAATATAGCACAAATGAGAAAAAACAAAATCTCACCTTTCAGTTCTCGAACCAATTTTTGACGATATTGAATATGCCACCCACGAGATTCCTTTTCAACTATATTGCTCAGAATTGGCAAACAGTTATTGATTAGATCTGAAATGAAATTAAGAATTCACTACAGCATAAAATAAAATCTAGAGATTAAAGTTTAACTAAAAACACTACATGCCAACATGATATACAGAGAAAAGATATTTTTATATGTTTAAGTTTGAATATTTATCAATAATCAAGAACTTAAGAGCTTAGATGGTACCTTGTTTTAGCCAGACAAACTAATTAGGTGATGGTAAAAGCAAATACATAGTAGCTTAGGATGATTTGAGAAAGTTTTTAAAAACATACGCTTTTGTTTATACTACTATTGTATATTTAAAAATATCAGTGCAACTACTGCTGGCAAAATGTAGTCATAATATTACACATGATTATTTTTTTTAAATAAAATAAAAATAGAACAGAAATGTTCAGAAGTATCCATACTTTTATTTATTCACTTTTTCTTTTTTACTAGAAAGTCAGCTTTAACTTAGAAAAGCAGTGAGTGATCCCTTAGAATTGAAGAAATATGCTTAACTGTTCTAAAATGTTTGGTTTAATGGTTCTGTGTTCTGATTGGCTGATCAAGAACTAATAAAAGTAAATGTGGAAATAATCTTCTAAACTAAAGATATTTTCCATATTGGAATAATGTTTAGTTTATGTTGGGTGAATTAGCAAACACCTTCAAGTAAATAGACAATTGTAATATAACAAAAGGAATTTTATCCACCACTAATATGAAAAATGTAGTTATGCCTACTTTCAAAAATACTTATGAACAGATTATTTTCTTAAAATTATTAAAATGCAAACAATTACTATAAACAGATTGTTTTTTTCTATTTTCTTTATTTTTTCATTACAATTTTTGTTTTTAATACAAGAAATAAAAACTGAAATGAAAATCATCAATATTCCAAAACCAGTAACTAATTTAAAACAAATTATACTGCAATAAAGCCTGTTCAATCTGCTTTTTTAACACCACATTTATAGATATACAATATAGAAAAAGTATTTTTATAGTATTTAGGACATACTCCATAAAATAGAACTCATTTCATATTATAAACTTTAAATGCTTCAGGTATCCACCATATTATTTCCCTCATTTGAAATTTATTTTCCACTAATTGTTATGAGCACTAATAACAGTTTACCAAATTCTAATATTTAATATTTAAAAAAAAATTATCAAATATGAAATGAAAATAAAGCATTTTTAATAATACTTCATAAAAAAGTAAAGTGATCATTTAGAATAAACATTTATTCCATTTTCAAAATCAGATTTTGAAGACCACTAAAACATACTGAATGAATTTAAAAAATAAACATCTTTAGAATTTGCCATTTATTATGACACATTTATTATGATGCATGTCTATTGTATTATCTACATAAATAAAACATCAATGTCTGTACATCATTTTGAAATATAATATCTAATATAGGTAAAAGAACTAAGATATAAACAAATTAAAGCCTTTTATTTTTAAAACCAATCTAATATTCATTTTGAAAACATTATATTTAACTTTTATTTACTTATTTTTTACTTGATAGGTGAACTTATTAAACTGAGCCATTCAAAACTGAGACATTTTCCATTATAAATAACACTGATGATGAAAAATACCTTTATTAAAAAGCCTCAAATCTATATGCAGTCCTTGTGGAGTCTGATAGTAGTAAGGAATTGGAGGTGGTCTGAGGTCAGCAGTCTGCAACCAAAATGCATTTAATGTTATTAATCAACAACAAAATGCAAAACAAAGAACAAATGTTCTTATGCAGCCTCTATTTTTTTAAACTCATTTATAAATTAGAGTTAATGACAACATCAAAAACCAAAACAAAATATAAGTTCATTTTAGAATGAAAAAAGCACCATATATAATAAAGAAAAATATTTTAGAAATAAATTTCACAGATTAATTCCTTTCATATGTGATGAAAATGAAAACAATCAAGATATATTATTGTATAGAGCTAGCAAGAAAATTTTTCAGTAAGCAAGAAAGTTTTTTGACAATTTGAAAAAGCCTATGTTTTTGTATTATCTAGTGTGGTTTCTAACATTTATTGCAATTTCCTTCTTGAAAGCATAGGGAATTTTTTTTTCTTTCAATATATGATCTGGATATATGTTATGGTGTAATGGATAACACCTCAGAATGATAAATCAGAAAAGCCATGTTCAAATTCCAGTCAGGCTCGTCACAGTCAGTCACTTGCAAATACCTTTGGAAAAGGTATGAATCCATCTCTTTTCCCTCCCTGTCACATTAACTTTCATATCAATAATAGGTGTGTTTGTTTTGTCAAATAGAAATTATTCTTCTGAAGGTTTCTTATTTATATCTATGCAGTAATAACTAAATATAAACTTACCTTGTGTTTCTCAGCTCTCAACAGCTTGCATTTGTCTTTGACATATTCACAAAAGCGGTTGAATTCTTTTCGACAATTATGCTGTCAAGAGAAATGAACAGGAGAGATCTATTAAAACCTTAAGACATATCAGTAAAATATATTTGATAAAAAAGATCCAGGCTAGGAGTACTGCTCAAAAAATATTCCAAGAATGATTTTAAAAAATTGAAATAATTGCATAATTACTTAGAGTACTAACAAAAATATGTTCTTATAATAATTTATTCAGATATTGGACATTGTGTTAATAAAATATATATTTATATAGTGTATATCATTTTGATTTATTTATAAATAAATAATTTATGCTGTACACTATTTGCATAATAAAACTTGATACTACTACCACACCCAAAAAGGTTATCAATATTTTTAATAAGGATGGATAACTGAATCTCACATGATATATTGCTTATATATACATATATCTTGGAAATTCTACCAACACTGGTTAGTTGATACTAATTTTATTGTGAAAATATTGACTTGCATAATGAAGTCTGATATTGTATTTTCCATAAGGATATACACTAAAGCTCCTTATTAGTCAAACCCTTGGTAACAATGAAAGAAAGGCAAAAACAAATTCACAACTAAGAACAATTGGCCAGAGATATACTATTGTTCTGTACATGTATATTACAATATGACCAGATAATTTAACTTCAATATGCTGACACCATATTATGTATTCAAAGAATTAAAAACATTTCTTTTTCATATTCCTTCTCTCTAAGTTGAAAACTTAATGAAATTAAATAAGAAAAAAAATGTTATTTACCCGTATGTCTAGTTCAGCTACTAAATAGCGCATATGCTCTTCCCTGAGTTTGGCTGTCAGATCCCCAGGACTTGTTGAAGGCATGCCAATAACTATATCTGCAATTAGTAAAATATATCATCATTGAAAATAAGGTACCCATGAAAAAAATGTATGCACATCAACAACACAAAATGCTAAAACAGTTTTTTTTTTTTCTGGTGAAAATAAGTTTCTGAAATAAATAACAATAGGGTGGGATAATTATCATTGAGCTAGTCTGACCATTATTACTGACTAATGAGTTTGATTGTGAATAACTGCACAGTATTCATGGATTTGTGTGAATCAAATCTAAGTAAATTACAACAGAATTTTATTTGGACATGATACTTGTGATGATGTTATATGTTATTTAATAAAACATTAAATCAAAGATCTGAGTTAACGGTAAATTGTAAACACAGTCTACCTTTTACTTTACAATTCAGTTAAACTTTGGAATTTGACAATGTTTTTCCTTAGATTTTTGCACCATATATGGCTTATCTTTCTCTTTGTATGATTAATTTTGAGTTTAATTTAGTTCTGTATTGATCTTATACAGATGTATTGATATTTAGTTAGTATTTTTGACATTTTACATGGATTGATTGATATTATTAACATCTTATATGGATGATGTGTATTTAATGGTTGCATATTATTTACCAAATAACTCTATATGCTTAGATTATTTACTAGTTTCTTAAAGAGGCTTCTTATTTATCAACTAAAAAAAATTTTATGTAGGAAATCCACAAAGCTTAAAACTAGTTGGGCATTTGGTTAAATTACCTCTCTACCCACCCTCCACCACTTTTAATTCTTAAGAGAGTTGACTGACATGTGTACATTTTGTAGCCATTTGTATCTGTCTTTAAGTTAATGTCTGACGTTAAATCTTTGCCTTGACACATTTGTATGATAATAATTTCTAATTTTTCTTTTTCGCTTAGTTTGAATTTAACATAGGACATATTCAATTGGCTGATCAGGGTAAAGCCCTCAACACTTTTTTTTTATTTTGTTAATTTTATAATTTTTTTTCAAAAAATGAGGATGTATTTTGCTTTTGAAACCAAATTAATCATTCACTTACCAGTATGTGTTGTAACATAACTGCAATTGTGTAGAGATTCCTACATGTTTTTGTTGTAATATCCTAAAATAAATAATATTGCTCTACTATGTATTGAGCCCTCTCTTAAATTAAATGTTACGAACATTGGAAGTGTACTCTATTTGTTCTCATCATAATTGGATATATATATATTATAATGAAGAGAAAGAACAGTAAGATATATAATCTGGTGTTCTTATTAATTATTTTTATTTTTACTAAACAGTGCTCAATGCAAATCTACAGACCATAAATATAAATTTACTAATTTAAAAATATGGTTCCATTGCTACACAGGAATTACCATGTTACAAAAAAAGAAATTAAAAACTTCAACTTCAATTATAGAATTAAAGTCCCTAGTCCTGTTTCATTTTCAAGCAAATTTCAGAATAACTTATTTTGAAATTTACTAAGTTTTATAAGCACATACTAATTACTTAGTTTCTAAGGATACAGGGAAAATCAATCATTTTGACAAGGGGTGGTAGGGTATTCATTTTCACTGATAGCTATTGTATCAAAATATGAGTTACCTTCAAAAAGAGGTTAAGTTAAGGTAGGGTAGGGGTGCCTTTTTTCAACAAATGATGACTCAATGTGTGACTCAATTTTACAAAAAAACAAAAAGAAAGAAAAAAATCAATGATTTATATTCTTCAACATCTTCTGGTCTTAAGTAATATAATCAATAAAATTTACATTGTTCAGACTGTTGTCCTCATCTTTGTGGCCATAATCACAACAGTTCAGCTGTTGTACACTCCAGCCTTCTTCAGGAGATTGGAACTGAACCCTTTATTTTATCCACTGAGGTAGATTGTTCTAGTTTCACATGTCATGCCTTATGAAAATGCCTTAACAAATTTTAATACTAAAACACTCAAAATCAACCCACATTACAGAACACTGTGTGTAAAAGTTCAATAAAGTTACCAGAAAGGAAGGGAGGTAACCTAAGCCCTTACCAAATATTTTCCATAGACCTCGACCCCAACTTTTGAATCCTTCAGATAAACTAAAAAAGTGTGAATGGAAGCGATTTCTGGCTGTGATCAGCAGAATTCTCAGTGCCAGTGCCATGTCCTGAAAAATTAAATAAAAATAAAAAATATCACCATTTTTCATATCGAAGCAAGGTAGCTATCAATAATTTGCCTATTTATTAAGTTACCACAATAGGTACAAAACAAGGATAAAAAAACAAAGTTCTCTTACTTTCAATGTAACAACCAATAATGTTTTTATCAAATATGAATATTTATGAAATCTTTATGCTATCAATTCTATAAAATGCTAAAAAGAAAAAAATAGCAATATGCTTTAGTTTCAGCATTATATTAATTATAGTTTCAGCATTAATTATCTACTTATATTTAATCTTAATGTCTTTTAATAACTAAATATAACACACACTATATCTTAGTCTACACTTAAATAAATTCTCGTTTTTAGATTACGCTTTAATAAAAACCAAAAGTCATTTATTGAAATTATTTTTGGATATTAACTAATTTTAATTCAGTGATTATTTTTCAGTGACTATTTTGCAAGATGTTATATATTATCTTACAAAAAGTTGATAATATCTGAATTCAACAATCTAGAAAATTAACACAATATTCTATATTTCGAATTGTTTTCTCAAGAAAAGGTAATAAACCTAATATAAATAAATAAAATGGGATTTCTATCAAAGTACATTAGTAAGAAAAGCTTTTACAATTGCAGTAATAACTTAGTATAAAAATTGTTGCTATTAAATAGTAAAACGTCTAGAATATTATTCAAGATGGAAATTTGAAATACAAAAAGAAATGAAAAATGCATCTTTGTTGTAGCATACATCAAATTACAATATATTAATTACAATACCCACATCAAGAAGGGTTTCATGAGATCTCCGGGAACCTTTTTGCAGCAGTTGGCTAAGATGCCATTTGTGTGTTTGGCCAGGAAAATGAATGCTGTCAACTTCAAATTCCCTGAAATAATAAAAAAACCAAAGGCTTAGATGAATAAAAATTTACACATTTTTTTTAATTTTATTCCAAAAATCATGTTTTATGTATGTACAAACTTAACTCTTTATTAAAATATGATCATTAAAAATGAATTGATTCTATATAATGTTACTTCCTTTTCAACAGGACAGATTATATATATATATATATATATATATATATATATATATATATATATATATACACACACATACATACATACATACATACATACATATAAAATATTTTTTAAATTATCTAACTCAATTAAGTGATACAAAAGTTTTCTTATATACAAAAAAATTGATCAAACACATTATTAATCAGATTTTATTAAGTTTTTGCAAATTAAAACTGAATCATTAAAGTTAGAAAATTTTATTTTCAGGTAGAAATTTCTTTGACCTGAACACATTGTTTATTTTAGAATGAAAGCTAATCAGGAAACACTTTTTTGTAGGTTATAATGATAAATTTATAAAACCAATACCAATTAGATCTTATATTTATTGCAACTGAACTGCAACTCAAAATTTATTGTAAACTAACACCTCCAAATCAACTTTGAAGACAAAGTTAACTTGAGAAAAAAATTAATTTACAGACGTCAACAGAAACATCTTTCCTTACCCACTCTGCATACTGTCTTAGCAGCAGTAAGTTACTTTTTAATGTCATTCAAAGAGACCCGTGTAAGAAAATTGCTACTAAAGGTTTTATTTATAAAACTGCTGAAACAGTTATACAAATTCTTATTCTCAAAACAATCACTGACTTTTCTTGAAATATTCATACTGGTATAGAAAAAAATGTTCATTCTACAATTGTTCAAATTTAATTTTTTAAAAAAAAGTTTAAAAATAATATTCAATCTTTTAAAATAAATTTTAATTTTCCTCAATCTTTTTTATTTTAAGGCTTTGAGTACATTTTTGAATATTTTATAAGGCATTTTGATAGGTTAATTTTTCAGTTTTTATGTCCTTTCTTATTCCTTTGACAATAGTTTTTCTTAATTTAAACAAAAAGAACATTTTAAGATCACGGCAAAAACAAGCGTCTTTATTGAAAGATTGAGCATAAAATGGTTTTCTTGTCGAAGATATTCATAAAGTTTCGATCATACATCAGAATGATATTTTTTTTACGTATTTACATTTTTAACATACCTATAACTTTGAGAAAATAACGAGTCATCTCCCTTCTCTCACAGAGAATATTTTGAGTATTCATATAGTGTTTGCTTATATTCAGAAGATATATGGTCATATTTGTTTAAGAAGTTTTATAGTACCGCTCTCACAAAGAATATGAATAGTATAACTATCTGACTCACTATTCATTTAATATAAATAACCTTTATCACAAACACGAATAACTCTAGAGTCAATAAATATCTCATTTTCTTTTTAACTATTTTGCTGCAACATGCATAGATTGATTTCATGTATAGAGTAAGAATTAAAACTATGTATTAGAAAAAAAATGGAATTAATTATATATTTAAAATATTGTAGATGTTTGCTTCTCAATGAGAAATGGATACATATCCTTTAAAAAAAAAAAACAAATATAATAAAATAAATTTAAAAATTAAAAATCTATACATACCCATTATCCCAGATACAATATAACTGTTTTTCATTTAGCTTTTTCTGTCCGCCATTGGGTAATCTTGCAACTTCTTCCAGTTCATCAAATGTAGGAGCAATGAAAACATCACGAAATGTAACTTTACTCTGAAATTTAAAATAAATAAAAAAGAGGATTATTATTTAATATTTTATGACAGTAAAATAACTCAGAAATATAATTATTATTCAATAAAATATGGTTGATATATTTTTTTCAGAATAATCTCATACATGACATTGTCAGAGAACTTAATCTAAAAAATTTAAATTTAATTTCTAAAGAAGAGATGGATTTTTATTTATTAATCTGACAGATTTTATTACTTTTATCATTTTTAACAGATACCCATATTTGAGTTGATGCTGTTTATTTATTTATTAAACAGTATACTTATTTATTTTTGTCAACCAGCCTGAATATTCAAGAAATCTTATTAAAGAAAATTATGTGCCCTCCAGCAGAATTTGAACTTGCATCCCACTTGACAGGAGAAACCGTCATTAGATATGACAATCTTTAGACCGTCTCAGCCAAGAGGTGTTTCAATGATCAAGCAAATAGTTAAATAGTGCCTTATAAATGCAAATCATTCTCAGAGTTCCATATCCTAACTTAAACAAAGCAATTTCTAAAGAAGTGATGAATTTTTATTTATTAATCTGACAGATTTTATTACTTAAACATTATTTTTAGTGGATACCCATTTTTGAGTATACACTCCATTTATTTATTCATTTACCAGCCTGAATTGTTTGTTTGTTGTTGTTTATTATTATTAAGGCCGATATACTAAATAAATGGAATTTCTACTCAAATATGGGAAACCATTAAAAATAATGCTAAGATAAAATAAAATGAAATTTACCTCAAAAAGTGAAAAAAATTTTAATTTTCAGAGCGCAGATTTCATTTTTCTTTTTTTTTTTTTATGAACCAAATGTCATTAATATATATATATATATATATATATATATATATATATATATATATATATATATATATATATATATATACACACACAAAATACATAGAAAAGAACAGCCAGATTAATAATCCATAGTACTTTAGCATTTATTTTTTAAAGTGCTCGATACAAATAGAGCATAATATTATAATATTATTATTTAAAATTGTTTTTTCCATCATGGCACAGAAATTCCAATATTTCAGAACTAAAATTATTGTTCCTTTTTCAAGCAATATTCAATAACTTCAGAAAAAAAATGATTTACTTTTGAAAGCGAAGTAGTATTATATTGAAGAGCTTAAGTAGGAGGGGAAATAAGTTTTCAGAATTATTTTTTATAGGTGTTTTCTTATTTGATGAATCTAAAGACAGATCTAAGTTAAAATAGAAAAGTGAAAAAATTTAGGTTAGAGGTTAGGTGTGGGTATGCAATTCATGCTTGTCTAGATGAGCTGTCTTGTATTAGACATGTTACTATTGCTTCCTGTTAAGAATATAACCATGAGATACACTGAAATAATACAGAGAGGTATATGTATTGAACAATGGGTAAATTTTGGCATTTTATTTTTATAAATTATTTTTTTATTTATTAGGACTGTCGTAAAGGAGTCCCGAGTTTGATTAAATCATTTTATTTTATATAAAATTATTATGCTCTAAAATGCAATACTTATTATATTCAATGGTATATTAGACATGGCCATGTTAAAATTAAAAATCAAGGAATTAAGTAAATATTATATGTACCATTATATGTAATCAAGATTGTCTCCTCAGCACAATATTATCAAGAAGACACCTCTTTTACAAATCAACCATGGTGAGATTTGAACCCAGCTTTCATGACACTAATGTTCTAAACACTAGACCATGTACTCGTACATATAAACTAATAATAGAATTATATATGCCTCTATTTAGCACAATTTTCATGCAAGAAGCAGAATTGTAGTACATATAGGCATAAATTACTTTATTATTATTTTATATACTTTGGCTTCAATATATATATGAGCACTTGTCTTTCTACAATTTATTTTATTATAAAAATAATTTATATATATATATATATATATATATATATATATATTACACACATACACCCTTTACCAGTAATTCCACTAGTTAATCAAATTATTATTTAAATGATAGTCACTCTAAAACCAACTGAAATCATCCTGATACACAAATGAAATTTATAACTGTATATTCTATTATAATTTCTTTCTCTTCTGGGATTTAGTTGGATAAAATTCTATTTGTTATATAGTGTGTGTGTGTGTGTGTGTGTGAGTGTTGATAAATAATTATGTCTTGTCTGAGAAAGTGAAAAATATCAACAAGAGATGTGTTATAGATAGATAACTTTTTTTTTCTTTCAGGTTAAGAAAGAACTCAAAATCTCCTTTGTTATTTAAACAATTAAACTGAAGAAACAGGAAAAACTCCTTGAAGCTAAACATCACTTATAGCGTGACTAATAACCAGTAGTCATGAAGAGTGAATGGTTTTGAAGAAACTATGAGATCCAAAATATTTTAAAACTACAAAACAGTACAGAGATAAAAAAAAATGTAGTGTATAAATATATAACATGATACCATACATATAAAAATAAAAAAATGCTACTCTCAAAATGACTTATGAAATGCCATATTACATATATACACACATACACACATAGTTTTGTCAATTAATAACCATGATGCACACAGACATCTAGAGTGAATGAATATTGCTTTAATGCAACAAAGTATAAAATGGTTGGGCTTAACCACTAATACTCAAATAATATTCTAATATACAGTGTGTAATAGGTATAAGAACAAATTATAATAGAAAAAAATATTGTATACATATTCAGCTGTTTTTAGATTATGCTAGATGTCTTCTCAAATACCTGGTACATACTGTATATTATGGAAAGATAGAAATTAACATTTTTCTGCTTTGGTATAAAAGGAAAATTTATCTATAAACATTTTTTTTTAATGGAACAATGCATTGAATTAAAAATGTTATAACTCAAGTATTCTCTGCATCTTAATGAAAAATATAATTTTCTATTTGAAACTTTTAAAGGAATTCAACAATTCAAGATAAAATGGTTATCATGTTTATATTTTTCCTCATACAAACTTACTTAAGACAGATTTTAAAAAATTAATTAAAATTTTAAAGAGGTGCTATATGACAGTTTTAGAGAATATAAACTATTCAAATTTATCATATTTGGATAAATTAAATTCAATGGTGGCTTTGGCATATTATTGATAAAGGCAACTGACAGTTGTTTAGAAAGAAAAGAGAATAAACTGATGAGAAACAGTTACTTTTATATGAATGAAATAGAGCATTGGAAGGTCTTAAGTATCAATCTACATTATAATATAGGACATTGCAAGTTCAATAAAAATATATAACTACAAACTACCATTTCAAAACCTTCAAATGTTCCTGCTTATAAGAAAATGGTTTTAGATTTTTTTTAATCATATCACCCCGTGCAAGGCAGTAAAGCCTCTAAGACACAAGGGGTAATTGACTGCGAAGGAATAAGCAAAAGAAAAATATTATTAAGGAGCAAGAACAATAAAAGAGTAATCAAAAAAACAATAGATAATAAATGAGATTGCATTTAAATTTTTAAAGATCAAAGTTGGCTGTAAAGCATGGAGCCAAAAGGAGCAAGAAGTACAAGAGAATAAACTGTTAACATAGAAGTTACAGTTACATCTAGTCAACTCAATGGTGAATTGATGTGGCCTTGCTGCCAATCTAGAAGTTACAGTTACATCTAGTTAATTCAATGGTGAATTGATGTGACCTTGCTGCCAATCTAGTACTGCACTTAAATTCCTAAAGTCTAGGTACTATAGTGAAGAGTTCATCTGAACAATTACCATGAAAGTATTTATTAAAAAATCACAGGGAAGCTACATTATGGTGGTGGGAAAGTGACTAAAGCCAAGATGAATAAGATTACTGATTCTTTTTAGGATTTTATCAAGAATTTCTAAATATACAGCATATTAATTATTGACTATTGTTGTTCTAGTTATCCAGTGAACACTTCAACAAAAAATCCACTGGCCTTAAAATATGCTAAATTCTAGTAATTTTTATGTATTTGATGTCTTATTGATTTCTATAATATTAATACAACTACTACTACTACTAGTAATAATAATAAGAAGAAGAATAGAAGATATAAAAGATTGTGCATATATATATATATATATATATATATATATATATATATATATATATATATATATATATATATATATAAATGAAGAATTCATTTAAATAATAAAATCAACAGAAGCCAACTATTATACTCTGTACTCAATTGTGGATGATTTTTTTTACTATGCCTTACAATTGTTCATTTCTTAGTTCTTGGCTTTATGAAATGCAGTTGTAATATCAATTAATATAAATTTGAAATACTAATTATAACTATGCACCAGAGAATCTAAAATGTGTTTGTTATAAGTTTAGCCTTAGATAAGTGAATTATTGGCAATAATCTTTGTAAAATAAACAAACCATTAAACAGAAAACTTCTAGTACTTATTTGACAATGTTAAATTTGAATAGGCTATGGTACTCTAAGATTGTAGAATTTACACAATATTTAAAAAACAATAATCAATCAATAGATTATTATCTTCAGTATTAAGCAAATTAAACTATAACAGATATTTGGCAAAAAAAAATATTGTCTAAAAATTGTTACTGGCTTTCATAAAAGATTTTACTGCACTACCTCATAAAGTATTAGCTTTATTATCAAAATATGTTGAGTTTGATATCCACAATATTTGCAGCAATCTATTTACCACAATATTTGCAGCAATCTATTTATCAACTTAATTTTATAAATGGTGTTCCAATAACTTGGACCGATTTTAAATGTGAATTAAGTTTGTCTAATGATTTTTTTCTTTTTCTTTCAGATTTAACAACTTAAGTCTTTGGCAATTTCAACCATGGAAAGATTAACAATCAAACGTGTTAAAGTTTCAAGAGTGCAATAGGAAAAACTGTTTGTAAATTCAAACTGGGTCAGTGGCAAATGTGAAAACACCACTGTGTGCTTGTTTATGCCATTCAGCTGAAAACATTGCTGCAGTGGCCGAAAATCCAGATACCTCTATTCATAATTGCGTGCAGGAATTGAAACTCTCTGCAACAACATTACATCGTTTCCAATTGCACCCTCATTTGGTTGATTATGTCAACCAAAAAAATTGTAAAGTGCACAAAATGTATTTCTGTTTGAACATCCATTTTCATAATAGGCTTCAATAACTTTAACATGTTGTTTCATTGTTAATCTTTCTATGGTTGAAATTGCTAAAGACTTAAGTTGTTAAATATGAAAGAAAAAAAAAATCATTAGATGCTTAAACATAATTCACATTTAAAATTGGTCCAAGTTATTGGAATACCATTATTATTTTTATGTAAGTGTCCCTTTACCAGGTCATAAGTAATTTTTAAGAGAAATTTACTGCACCAAAAAGCTAGGTCATTAAATGAACTGACATTAATATCAAAACTTGACAATATCAGATAAAATAAAAAGTCACTTGAATTCAATCAAAAATTAAAGATTGAATCTTCAGGACTTTAATATTTTTAGTTAAAATGACATAACAGAATATTCATGCAACTTTTTTTTTAAATAGAGGTGAGTTTCATCTCATAATATTGATACAACATAATTAACAAAGCTTTTATGTTATATAATAAAGAATATACAATTTTGAAACTAAACTATTATCTGAATAACTGGCAAGTAAAAGAAACAATATTCAAGTTTCTAATAATCATAGGCATTTTTTAAAATCAGGGGAAGTTTCAAAAATAAAAAAATAGATCCCTACTGGCCGTTCTTTACTGATATCCCCATTGGCAGCTCCTATTGGTTGGGGTTCATTGTCAGTGATTGATGAAGGAAGAACAATAGGGAATTCTCGCCAGTGGAACAGAATTTTCTCTGCCAACTGAAATATAAAACAAAATATCAATAACATTTTATAATAATTGATATTAGTTAATTAGAATGAAGTGTACATCTTACAAAAATTGTATTTAGAGAAAAAAATGAATACAAATTTTTAACATTTTATTCTCATTTTCAATTTTCCTTTTCTCATAAATTTCAGTAAACAAAAGCAATATTGAAAAATATAAAAAAAACTTACATCTTTTTTTTTTTTATCCAAAAGCAAAAGTTTTCCTAAGTTGCTTCTCTTGGAACAATTCAAAACATTAATATTGGATTTTTTTTTTATTGTTTTATAAGCAAGTATCAAATTTATTTTATGGTCAAAATAATTACTTTTTCCAAATTTAACACAAATGGTGAAAACTTTAATTTCTTCTGGGGGAGTTAGTATCATTTTTATCTTGATAACCACCACTCCAATTGTGAAATGTTTTCAACACCACAATTTTTTTGCATATTTGGGTATGCTAGTTCCATTCTCAACCATCTGGTTTTAAATTCAGTGTTGTCCTTATAAACTGATTGACAACCAAGGCTAGAATTTTCAGTCTGCCCTACTATTTTACCTATTACTGGAAAAGAATATATTGATTTAAATTTTTTCTTAGAGATTAATGCAAAGTGAACACAAGCTGTTTCAGCTAGAATTTGAAATTGCCTTGCCAATTCCATTTTCTATCCTGTTAATTATTGAGTCATCTATACATGCCACAATTAAAACTATTTTAGAAAAAACTTCTTAATGTCTCTGCAAATATATGAAACAGTAATTTTTAAGAAGCATGTATGTAATAGACTAAGCAGAACATCCTGAAAGGCATGGAACCTCAGTGATTTTTACAGAATAAAAAATACAATAGAGGAGAATATAGACAATAAAAATAGAGAAAATGAGACACTGACACAAAGAGAAAGCAATACAGATATTTTAAAGTCCTCTTGCTGCTTTCTTATGAGGGGAAAACATTGTTGCTTTACATAAAGAAAGCACATTACAGCTAAATTTAGCTTGTTACAGAGCCAGATGTTTGTCTGCATTATACTGTATTATTCAAAATGATAGTTCATGTGCTGATTTAGCAAGTTCTCTACAGATTGCAATGTCAAAGTGCAAGCATATCAACAACCCAACACTTATCAGATAATCTGTATAGAAATGGTAAAGAAAATCAATCAAGAACAAGAGAAACAATATAATTTCTTTATGGTAACCAAAACATATGCTTCATTACTGAGAGTTGAAAGTGAAAAGGCTTTGAGCATTAGAGGAACACACAGCTTTAGTGTGAATGTATTTCTGAAATCTCAATTATAAATTCTCTAGGATAGGCATGAAGTTATAGACAGTTACTAATGATTAATTAATTAATATATGAAAATAAGGTATTTGGTAACTGGATCACCATAACCCAAGATAAATGATGAAACAAATAGCAAATGATTGGCTTATCAGTAGATCATTAGATATTTATACCATAAAATATTACAGATTCCACAGTAATATAAACTGACAAAAGGTTCATGTGATAGACACAGTTTCTGCACAATGGATCAAAATGGAAGTAACAGTGTGCCTAAAAAAGGTAAATGTTCTTAACAAAAATTTACTAATAGTTGAAAAAAAGTGATGGTTATTTATTAACTTCTTTTATTCATTGCAATATGAAATATCACAAAAACATTTTTTCAAATTGTTATGAGTTTTAATCTGTTCAAGACAAAATAATATATAAAATGCTGATAAATGAATGAATGAATGAATGTAGTTTTTACAACAAAATTTTTTTCAAATTTAATGTCCCGGTTTGTTTTAAAATAAATAATAAAGATTCTGTTTTTCTATACTTATTACAGTTTTCAATGTTATTTTTTGCTATGATACCCAAAAAATATAAATCCTATTATTTATGCTTATAAGTTGCAGCATATCTATTTTTAAGAAATGTACACTATTTTTGATAATTTCATATATAAATAAAAAATGAAATGATAATCAGTTTTATTTCAGTACTGGCTGTATTTGAACCCAGTATATTCAGAAAAAATTTTGGCTTTTCTTATTGTCTAGTGTCTATATCACTGAACACCCCCCCCCACACACACAGCTTTAGTCATTTTCTGCACTAATAAATTGAAGATTTCTGGTGGTAGGTTGAAAGATGATAAGTACTAAATTGGGGATCAAAATTTGTTTCAGCAATTTTTGATATTGTACAATGGAAATCAGTAAAAAAAAAAAATTAAAGTATTACTGACAGCAGCATAGAGCTAGAGCTATTATATTTATAATTTATCTAGGACTTAATTTTGTTAATATCTTTTTTTCTTTTCTTCCATTTTCACTGATGTGACATGGCTTCCCTCAGTCTTTTCTACAATTATTTTCATGGCAACTGCTCTGACAAGTTTTTTTTTTTCCTGGTGCCCAGTCTATGTGAGTTTAAGCGTGCTACTCGACTGGCATCTAGGTCCCATCCTTTTATGTTGAATTAGTTAAATGTAACTGCTACTTCTACTTCAATAGTTTCTTTTCTCATACTTCCCACCTGTGGAACTCTCTTGCTTCCCTGATAACTACAATCTTCAAAACTTTAAATGCAACATCAATCGCCATCTTCTACCTTCTTGAACCCCATTCAGCTTTTATCCTTTCCTTGGTTCCCCTTACCCAGTCTTTTCTCCCACATTCACTCTCTGTAACCCCTGGCATACCAGTGGATTTCCCGCCTTGCTCGGGGTGAAATGATAAAAAAATAAAAAAAGGAAGTAATTTGATGCACATAAGTGATAATAAATGACTTAGCATCCCCTTTTTATTACAAGTAAAATTTCCTTTTAACTTCCTCTTATATTCATTTATTCTTCACTTACATTTGTTTTTTCTTTCATTTTTGGTATTCACACTGATCATTACTATTTTATGCACCATTACAGCTAAACCAGTACTAGCTTTATATTCAATATTATTAAAATATTACTAATATTCTTACCAATAGTAAACTGATTAATTAGTTGCTCCATTTTCTCTATGACTGCAAGCAAATAAAGCCACATAAAAAATTATTTGTACTAATCAAAGTTTTCAGGTTACTATTTCTGGATACATTAAACTCATAATTCATCAAAACTTTCCTAATTTTATGACCCCATAGTTCCTATAATATTCAACACTTATCTCTTTATAGGAGGGATTTCAGATAAGTTCTCAGCCCAATCAAGTTCTTAGAAAACAAAAAAATATCTGATAATTGATTATTTGGTCAAATTTTGGGAAATGAGTTGGGCTAAAAATCTTTCAGCACCCCCTCATATATATACATTGTAATCCCCCCACACATACATTTTTTTTCCATTTGGTTATTTTTTTTTCTTACATACTAGTGTAATTTTTTTAAAAAAATAAATTACAAAGCTTGTATTTTCTAACAAAAAAACAAAAAAATTTTTCATTAACCTCTAAATTTTTATTTATTAAAATACTAACTTCTGCTAACAGTTCAGCAATGGAAATAATTATGCAAAAATACATCTACAATTGAAGAATGAATAAATTTCAAACCAGTAAAAATAGAAATATTGTGCTATAGCCATTGACTCTTAGTTCAAAACATGAAATTATTATTATTTTCATCCTACTGATTTTAAAACAGTTTTCATTTATAGATCATTATCATATTCTATCAAAAGATATAAAATTACTTTACTGCATCTTTTCAACTGAGACCAAATTACTTATAAAATTACTGTTATAACTTAAAAGTAAAAAAAATAAAAACAATCAATAAAATTAAATTAAATATTTCATCAATTTCTAATACATGCAAACTAATTCTTACCTGTTTGATGGAGGCCATGACACCTGCCATATCTGAAGGCACATCTGCAGGGTCATACTGGAAAAGGAGTTGCTCTCTCTGTAAAGAAAAAAAATAGTAAGAATTGCCAAAAATATTAGAAGTTTCTATAATGTTTCAAGATTATAAAAGACAAAAATGAAACCAGGAAAATAAAAAGATCAGGTAACCTTTATTACATTAAAAAAAAATGATTCTATGCTTAAATATTTTCAGTTATAGAACTGATATATTTAAGCCTACTTTTGTTTTTAAATTAACTTTTATAAAATAATTTTGTTTAAAAGTAAATCTAAACTGAGTATTATATGGATTTAAGATAAAAATTAAGTTTCCTTATATTGAACTAATTGAAAGAAGGCTATACTAATACTGTTTTTTTTTACAATATTCAAAATAGCAACCATAGCTAATCTTTTTTGACTCTTAGCTTTCTGTGCCACATGATATAATTTCTCATTTAGATAAACAGCAAAAACTGAAAAAGCAAGTTAAATTTTTGCACAATCATATTTTAGCCTTAGCAAGAAAAACCACATTATAAATTGCTAAAAGGTAAAAAAGTAAAAACTGATTTGATAAAATAATCCATGAAAGCTTTATCTTATTTAATATTCCAACCCTATGCTAATATTCTTTGTATATGTAACTTTCTTAAATTACAACTATTTCAAAAGATTTGAAGAAAATTAGAATTAATTAATATCTTAAACATTTTTACTTCAATAACAATTATTTTTAACAATTTACAGTGTAATGATTACTTAATATACAGACATGGACTCAAACATCTGAGAATTGCTTGCAGATGACCACAGTGGCTAGAGAACAAATCAAAAGGAAAAGTGTAGTTTAACTAAGTAATAGATTTTGTTTTTATAGTCTCTGCTAGTTTTGAATTTCTAGTTTTCTCTCTCTTCTTCTCTGCATGACTTTCTCAGAAAAACAACTGGCAAAAATTCTGAATGGGGTTAAAGCAGTGACAAAAGGTTCGCCAGGCAACATAATTATTTATTTAATTATTTATTTATTTTTTTGCCAAAAAATGAGGAATGGGGAAAGCTGGTTCTCAGTGTTCTTAAATTTAACTTTCCCTACTGAATCATACTTATAATAATCCTTTCACTATAATACCACATTTATATAAAACACATATATGCCACTATCACCAAAATAACACATACTCTCCATGAATACCTAAACTAATACTCCATTTTTATAAACATGTGGAGAGGCGATGAAAAACATGATTTTTATTTACATCATAAAAATAACCCCATGATTTGCATGAATATGTACATAAAGAAAAGGAAAAAGAAATGTTACTATGGACCCTCCCTACATCTAAGCATGGCAATAAAGCAAATTAACTGGGTGAAAAATACAATGAGAACATGTAGAAAAAAAAAAAAAAAAAATTATGTCTTCTGTCATCTAAAAGAGGATGAGAGGGGAAATGAAAACAGAAAATGTCAGGAACTAAAAAAAAAAAAAAAAAAAAAAAAAAGTGGGCAATGATCATTCACTCCATAGCTAAGTTAATCAATTTTCAGTGAAAACAAAAAGGGGAAACATTTCCTACTCTAACCTAACTGGGTTGGGTGAGCATGTTTTCCTCAGAAGAACGACTCCTTCAAACAGTCAGTTCAAGATGCCACTCAAGGTTAGCACCATTCACACACACTAGTCATGCAAAAGTCATCCACTTTTCAGTAAAATCCTTGGAAGAAAGTCTCTGTAAGAAAGAAAGTTTCAACCATGAAACCTGGTGCTGAAAGAATGTAATCAGGCAACTCCATGAACTTCATTCATCCTCACTGTCTATACCATTATTTGCATGATGCTTGCAAGCACAGAAGCACATAGTGCTTCCTCTTGTCCGGCAATGTGCTCAAATTGCTACAACGAGAACTGGTATCTACAGCAAAGAATTGTCCATGCAGGATTCAGACCATGTAGTCTCCAATAAGCTCACACAATGAGCATACAACTGTGGAGCAAAGAGGTCTTGAATAGTGCTTTTACAACCCTATAAATGTCTTCCTCATCTATTTGGACAAAGCAAGATCAAACATATCAGCAAAATGGAAGTAAAGGAGCTTTTTTTTTTCTACCAGCAGCTCTATCTCCGCATGAATAAAAACTCTAACACAGACAATGTCAGGAATGACAACAAAAAAAAAAAAAAGAAAATACTGTACGGAACACACACAATATCAATATAAGTTGTCAAAATGCTCAACAAAGGTTCTTCAGGCAACAGACAAAGTGTATTTACTTGAACTGAGTCAGGTTGTGACACAAGGTCAGTTTTTAACATGGGGACCCGAGTGTTTTCACTCGGGCCGCTGGTCCAAGCTGGTCGTAGCTGCTCATAGCTTGTCAGAGCTGGTCTAAGCTTGTCATAGCTGGTCCAGACCCAAGCCGGTCCAAGCTAGTCGTAGCCGTGATACTACCAGTGCAGGGATGAATCCCTACACAAGGTAAGTATCACGGCAACAGACAAAGAATGACTAGAGAGAAAAAGTTTTGGCTTTTATTGAGTTTCTCTGGTTGATCTTACTCCAGTCAACAGGGGTTACATCTCCATTAAAAGTTAACATCTCTAGCTGGTTAAATGAGGGTTGTCAGATCAATTCCTACAAAGAGCAGTATATTTTATTTTTATTTTTTTCTAATACAGAATAAACTTCCGTAAAGAGATTGGATTGCAGATACTGCTCTCAGTAAGACTGAGCTTGACTGATGCTACCAATATAGTAAGACTATAGGAAGTTGGTCTGTTTGGCTGAAAAAAAAAAAAAAAAAAAACAAATGAAGCAAAACCACTACCATATAGCCAAGAGATTCATCAAAAATTATCTGGAAGGTAAATATTTTCCAAAATGAACCAAAAATATATTTCTTACCAAGTTTCAGCTATGATGCCTGTAACTTAATGAAAAGATTTCAACCAGCTGAAAATTCAAAAGTATTCTGGTCACATGCAAAGTTATTTGCTTTAGTTATACTTGTTTTATTTATCCAAAATTATAAATTGTAATTTTGATACAAGCAACATTAAACATATTTTTTTTTACACTAGTATAGTTAATGACAGACATTATTTTCCATGAAGTTATTAGAAAAGGATAAATATTGATAACAAGTGGTTCCATTAACTAAAATTCACTATAAATAATTAAAAGTATTTTCCTTATTCTCTGAATAAGTAAAAAAGGGAACTTTTCTATAAAAAGTTGCTGCAATTAACATTGATTGAAATACAATTTGAGCCCTGTTTTATAAAGGTAGTTCAGTCTTTTTTAAAGGGATAAAATTCCTTAACATTAGAGTCAATATCTGTAGATTTCCTAACTGCTTTTCTTTTATCTTTAATTAATTCCCTCCTGATGTATAAGTTTCCCATGATTCAATGATGCTAAAGAGATAAATGGTCATGCTTAGATGACTTCCTTTTTAACAGTGATCATGGAACTCTAAGCAATTAGATTTGCGTCTATGGTTTCCATAGACACAAAACTTGTGAAAATATAAAATTCTATTTAATATAAAGTATAATCTAAGATTTAACACAGATGACAAACTTTATAACTTTGAATTAGATTAACATATTCAAAAATCATTCAAAAGGTCACTTTACAACTGTGTATAAATATTGGCAAAAGAGAAGGTCCCATAGACAATTTGGAAATTTTAATTGTAATTGGCATAGATTTTGGGAAAATTTTCATTTATATATAATGAAAAGATTTCTAACCAAAGGATTAATGGGTATTTAAATTTGAGCGATGCACAATTTCTGAATATGATTCATATGCTGAAAGTAAGATATAAATTATGAAGAAATCAAATAAAAAAACAAAGAATATAAAGCAAAAAATACATGACTGAATATTGATGTTAAATTATAAAATGAAAATAAAACAGAAAAATAATTTCAAGAGTCAACTGAATTGTCAGTTAAAATGTAATATTAATAGTGTTTTGTTACTCTATTTTTTTCATGTGCCATAACCTTTCAAGACATGTGCAATCATTGTTTGCCACAACTTCCTGTCTTTTGTTCTTCACAAACAGTTCTTGCTCCTATACAAGCCTTCTGTTTTGCGATCCTTGTTCTGCCATCCATTTACTCAAACTCATCAACTAGGTTTACTTGCTGTTTTCCTTCATTTTCTTGGTTTTAATATGCACTGTATGTTCAATTCTCCAAGCCTTCTTTCCTTCTGTTTCCCAAATATTCCAGCTTTTGCTTTTTTACTATTAGCAACAGTTTCCTTATAGTCCCTATTCACTTTAAAATTTCCGTTTCTCAGATGCTCTGTTCAACAATATCAGTAGAACAATATCTATCACTTTAAGTTTCTCCTTTTGTAAGAAAATTGTCCAAAATTCACTCCTATATAGAAGATTAGATATTAAATTATATTAAATCGCAATCAAACATGATTTTCTTGGTTTCTGAGATTTTCTGATACTTTAATGCTTTGCTCAGTTTCTGAAAGGCATCTTCTAGTATTCCTTTTTTTAATCATTTCACTCTATGCAAGGTGATATAGCCACTAAGATACAAGGATTTACCGAGAGTGAAAGAAACTAAGAAACCATTATTGAGTAGAAAGGACAAAAGAACAGGATTCAAAAAGACATAAGATGATGATGATGATGATGATTAATGTTGCATTTTAGAATTTTTAAGATAGTAGTTGACAGGAAAGCAAGAAACCAGAAGAGAGTACCAAAGATAAGAAGTGCAACAGAAGAAACTATTAGAATAGAACCTATGGTTACATTTACCAATTTCAACAGAAAAATGATGAGATCTAGCTGCCAATCAAGTACTACACTTAAATCCATAAAGTCAAGATACCAAAGAGGAAAACTCATCAGAACAATGAAAGCATTTATAAAAAAGGTACAGGGAAGCCACATTACGGCAGTGGGTAAGTGTGCTTTAAGTAGAGATGTCAGGACTGATAACATTGTATATTCTTTTTTGAATTTTGTCAAGAATCTCTAGATTACATAGCAGAAGCACCAGGGATGCTTTGACATAG